TATACGTATATATATAAATGAATTTATATTATAATACATATATATATATATATATATATAATTATATATGTATAAATGTATAAATTTATGGGAATTTCCTGTTGCTATGTGAGTTTTCTACAAAAAATATAAACACTCTTGCTGAAATATAAAGATTTTATTCAATGCTTGTGAAATATTTCTATAGCAATTTCCCTTCCCCCAAAACATATGCATATACACATTAAGATTATTAAAATAAATCATATTATATAATGAAATATAAGCGAACTATGTACACGTTTGAAACATTATTGTAGAAATGTATTAAAGAAAAATGTAAATATTTAAATGCAAACAATTATTGTAAATATCATCAGAGGGATCATATTTAGTATACTGCATTCCTTACAAACCAATTTATCTACAAGTAGATAAATTAAATTTATATATATATTTTAATGTGTATAGTAAATTGTATATATTAATGCTCTTTACTTGGTAAACAAAATATACTGCAGGAAATAAAATAAAAAATTTTGTATATAAATGCAAGATTAAAGAATAATTTTAAAAATTAAATATTATAACCATTATTATATATAATTTTATATTGTTTTGCAATAAATTTTTATACTTTTAAAAATATATATAATTTTTAGTCGAATTTTTGGAAACCATCCTATACATTATTATACTTTTCACACTATAGATAGATACATAATATATGCATTTGATAATTTAAATAATTTGTAATTATTTAAATAAATATTATATATAATATAAATATTATATAATATATGCAATATATAAGAATTTTTCATATGAAATAAAGTAAATTAAACCCTAAAGAAATAATAGAATAAATCAAGTTTATAACGAAATTATAATTCTTTATCATTTACTTACATATTTGATTTCGTTGAATTTATATTCATTCTCATAGTACAGTACTTACAAGATTATTGGGTTAATAAAATAAAATGTAAATGTTAAATTAATTGAAAAGTATTAATTATTTAAATAAATAACACTAAAATATATAATAAGTAAGGAATAAAATTAAGGTACACTAGCGCCATCTAATCGGCCATTGTGTGCAACACATTTAATATATAAAAATTGTACAGAAGTTTTTATATAAAATTTAACAAAGATATTTCGAATGTTTTTTTGTGTTTAACTAATTGAGTCGAAAGATCGTATGAAAATGTTAATAATTAGGTATATAAGAACATATTATTAAAATGAATTTAACAATTATATAAATAGTTTTTATGAGATTTTTGTAAAGTTGTATCTTTATGGTTACATACATTCTTTTTTTTATTTGTTAAGTATAAATAATATTAAATACTTTTTACACATGTATAAAGAATGAATAACTTAATTTTAGTCTTTCTCTTTATTATAATGTATACTTTTCTATTAATTAAATATTTTTTTATGAGAAAATAATTTATTTTAATATGACTCGCAATTTGTTAATAATATACGATTAGATACAATCTTTTAAAGCTATTTATTTAATTTTACTTTATGATATAATTATTGGCGTTTCTGGATTTCATAAATTTCTAATATTTATTATTACAAATGATGATAATATTATATAAAAAAAAGAAAAAATATAATCATAATTGTGAGTTTTATAATAAATTGACATATTAACGTTCAACTGACCGTGTGGCCTAATGGATAAGGCGTCGGACTTCGGATCCGAAGATTGCAGGTTCGAGTCCTGTCACGGTCGCTTACAATTATTTTTTTTTTTTTTCGTTATTTTATATATTTTATTTTTTATGCATTAGGTGTATTTTATATATTTTATTTTATTCATATAACATCATTATATTATTACAAGAAAAAAAATGTATAGTATAAATATACATGAAGATAATTTTTATACAATTTTAGTTAAATAAAAGAAAATACTATACACACAAATATACGTAGTTTAAAATTTTCTGGAAGATAATAAGAATAATTATTATTAATAGAGAAAAATGACTATTATTATAAATTCAATTTAAAAAAATAAAAAATAAAAAAAATAAACTTTCCTTCGAGCCGGATTTGAACCAGCGACCTATGGATGTCTCTTTATGTATAAACCAACTACAGTCCACCGCTCTACCAACTGAGCTATCGAAGGATTGTAGCGGGAAAAGCAAATTAAATGTTGATAAACTATTTGTATCTGATATGAAATTGTAAATAATAAAAAAATAATATTTATAATAAATTTTTTATTTATACTATATTTTATAATCATCAAACATAACTTATAGAATTTAAATATGAAATAAAATGGACTAAAAGTACTGTACCTTACATCATATTACAACATGCTTACGCAATTGTGCATATCGTTATGACCATAATAATCATAACAAAATCAAATTTATATATTTGAATGATAGATCATATGAATCTCTTATTTAATTACGTTTATATAAACGCGAAGTATGCAGTTACATCGTGTGTCTGATTAACATATTACATCATTTATATAAAAATGCCAGAGATAAAGGAAAATAAATTTAAACCCATCAAACTGTTTTTCACCAATAAACGTAACACCTGGATATGCGTATCGATGAAAGCAAAGAGAATTTAGGGGAGAAAAAATGGAAATTTGTATGTTAGGCTGAAGGTCTTAAATAAAAAAACATAAATAATATATACGAAAACGGTTTGCACCCTGGATGTATGTGTGAGAACCGTGGAGTGAGTGGGTGAGTATGCATGTTTTTTCTTAAAATGGATAAAAATATGGATTTTTTAAGTAGGTTTTTTTAATTTTAATTTTAAGTAGGTAGGATCCAGGAAAGGCATTAGACTTCTTGCTTCCACTCCGGAGTGGAAATTCCGCCTCCTGGTTTATACAGAATTGTTACAAAATTTGATCATCTCATTCTATTATGCTTGATTTGTTAATTTATTTTGTGACTATTCTGTGATCTTTATTATGTATCATAATTCAAAGGTATTTGCAACCATTTGAAAGATTCATTTCTACTTCGATTTTATCTCGAACGAGATAGAGTCGAATCAAATCCGCAAAATCTTTGATGCATGTGATACTTAGTTTTAAGTATTTCAGGATTAGCGCTACGCACTATCGCGATTTCGTCTTACAGCTGGAAATATTTGATATAATTAACGAATAAATTAATAACGAATTAATGAAATGAGAGTATTCCAAGAAAATGCATTATTTATTTCAATTTCTTTTTATTATTCGATATTAAAAGTGCGAAGTGTTATTAGGTCATCGAGGGAAATCATTATCTGCTTGGACATTCGATTAAATTTGCTCGTATATGATCAATGAAATCTAAGTTTATTGATGGTGCACGAGTTAGAAAAGAAAACGAGAAATGTAAACTCATCTTTTAATAATTGAGAATTTGAATAATAATAAAATACAAGCTAATTTGCAGAATTATTATGAGAGATCTCATCTTGCTTGCAAGTAGAAAATGTCCAAATGCAGTTTTCATGGAATGAAGAAAGAAGAGGCTTAATGCCGAAGAGGCCCCCACTTAATTGTGTCTGAAGAGGGCAACTACAGGCTACTGAATTATTTTCAAAGGTTCAACATCATGTTCGAACCTTTCGAGAATGGTTCTTTAGTCATATTTTATATTTTATTCTATTATTTCTAAGCTCGTTATTAATTTGTAGTTGTAATTGGAGATGATGGACCATTCCATCTCCTTGGGACATCAAGTTCATGTCTAATCGTCAAAAAGATGTATATGTGTTTAGTTAGTTCGAGTCAAAACATTTAAATTCCCTTATTATTTCATTTTGAAGCCTAATTATCCTTTTTTAAATATTAAAAAGGAAAAAAAAGTATAAATGATCGTATTTTATTAAATTTGTAATTTTTTCTGTTCTATATTTACAGTTTACAAGTATTAGTCATAATAATTAATGGATATTATTTTCTCTAGATTTTTACTTTTTTATTATTTTTTATTTTTTGTAAATTTAAAATCACGCGTTTAAATTTAATTTCATTGCAACGATAAATAGATATTTGATAAAAATAAATAGAGAATTTAATTAAAAAGTACATCTGTGAATTGGACGATTTATATGCCAGGCTATTGCATAAGTTGATTGTATGATTAATATAGTTTTCTTTTTGTTATAGGTGATCATCGTTGGATTTAAAATCGATTTTCTTAGAGCGTCTAAGAGCAATTTTTTTTTAAATACACATTTTTTTTATTTCTATATGCATTTCTGAAGGCAGACAAACATAAACAAAACAAAATTAAATACAATTACTTATATAGTTTTATATAAAAATATAACTTCAAATATTTGTGGATGTATCAAAGATTCTTAAAATGTTTATTAATATGATTTGTAATTAATTTTATTTCTATTTTTAAATTTCGAGTGAATGAGGGATATTTAAATTTTATATTAAAACATAGCGTTGAAATCATATATTATAATTCACACAAAGTTACTATTCTATGTTTTGTGAATATATTTTATGGTGCAATGTGTTTTGATGAAAGATTTTAAATTTGAAATTTATATGAGTGAACGATTACAATGAAAGTAAAGTGAAAATTAATTTTAGAAATTTCACAAATTTTTTATGTATACTTACGTTTATTTCCTCGATAGTGGAACGGGTAGCGCCGCGATTTCGTGTCCTTGATGCCGCCGGATCGAATCCTCCTATTTTTTATGACTTTTAGCGAAAATTATACTAATTAACATTATTCTAAATCGTATTTATTTACTTAATATTTTTTGTTTTTAACGTAATAAAAGATTTGAATTTATAATAATATTTGTAATTACTAATGGTTTAATTTGACATATATTACAAATTATTGATTCGTATTTATCGTTTGTCTTATGTTTATAAAAAAAAGTAGAAAAGGATCGCGAAGGCCATAAAATTTGACAAGAAAGTATTAAAGTTTTCATGGTAGTAGTAGATGTTTTAGTTTAGAAGAGATGAAGACGGGCCAAGCTGAATCTGGGAGATGTGGGATCAGCTGCCGGAGCTGATATTAATACAAATATTCAGTCATCTCGATCGTGGAGATCGTGCCAGTGTATCTCAAATTTGTCGATCATGGAATTTAGCGCTTTCCTCACCTGTTTTATGGCGTTCTGTCACAATCCTCATTGATCGTGATCTTAGAGGAAATTTCCCTTTGGCGGGAGAATTGGCTGTACGTACGATGATTCTGTAATTTTCATGACTTTTTATACTTCTTCATTATAAGCATTTATTAGTTAGTTTCAATTAAATTTATATATGTAGTGTTTTTCATTATAAATATTTATCATTATCGAAACGATTTTTTTTTTATCTACCATCAATAATATTGTTCAAAAACAGCAAATTCAAAGTAATTAAAAAAAATTTATTTTAATTTTAAAGGTAAAATATGGACAATATATGAGAACTTTAGAACTCGCTTGGTCAAGATCATACACCTTACCACAAGAAACACGAACTGCTCATAATATTCAGGCAGAAGCAGGCGCAGATTTTCTTGCAGTCATACGAGCTAAGAATGTACAATTAAAAGAACTTATATTAACTAATTGGGTTTTCAGTTATAAATGGGGAGATAGAGGAAAATTATTGTACGCTCTTGCTAATTTTCTCGGGTAATTTATTAAAATTTCTATAGTTTTTTCTAAATTGATTAAAGTTAAAAGAACAAGTAAATATCTGATTTACTTTAGTTGTCAGAATAATCTTGAAACTTTGAGTTTACTCAATGCTAATTTTGGAGTGAGCGATGTTCTGCGTCTGTTAGGAACTGTTGCGAGAGGAAGCAGTGAAAGATTAGCATCTTTGGATCTTCGTGGTGCATTCAGACAATGGCAAACTCCTCATAGCAATCCTAGGTTTAAAATATACATCTATAAAATTTACTATTTATATACTTTTACGTAGAATAATTACATTTTACTTTTATATTTTAGATATTTACGCTTATTGGGTCGTCTTCATGCATTAACTATATTGAAACTAGATTATCCAGCGATATCGGATCATACTTTAAATGCTTTGGCTAATGGTGCTCCAAAAGTTCTTAAAATTTTGCACATTTCTATCCGTGATTCTGATTCCCGACAACATACTGTTGCTGATAGTTCTTGGAATAATCTAGCACGTTCCTGTCCAAAATTAACAGTTGCTTATACCATAGGTATATCTTATTATACAATAGAATAAACGTTTTTACATGTATTCATTTGTCAACTTTTATTCTCCGATAATATGCGTTTATTATTTAATATTTATGTATGCATATATGGTACTCAGCTTTTTGAAATTTATTTTCAGTAAATATTTCACACTATGAGGACATGTGTTACTTGTTGCTTCCTAGTGTTCCACTTGCCAAGTTTCAATTATTCAGTGGATATGTTTGGGACCAAAGTAGATCTCGTAATTTTCGAGGCACTGTTGGGCTATTAATTTCTCACTACACAAACACACTAGGTGTCTCATTATGAAAATAATTCATTAAATAATTTGTAAAGAATAAAAAAGTAATTTTCATTTTCAGCCGAAGTAATGTTGCAACTTAAAAACAATCGAGAGTTAATTGATGATTTACTCATTTCTATGCTTATTCAATGTAAAAATTTAACTAAATTGCAATACGATGGAATTATTAGAAGTCTTGATACTTTGCGTGATATTTGTCAATTACAAGCAGAACGCAAAACCTGTGAGCTTATAATACTAGTTATTAATTTAAGTAACATTATAAACTAAGACGTTTTCTGTTACAGACTTTCGTACGATTCACATAAAGCCACGCATTGTAAATGTCAGGAATCGTGCCATATTGGACGATGTAAACTATCAGTATGTTCATAAAATGTTTGAGCAAGAAGTCGACTTTCGTATAGAAGATCCAGCTTCTTTTTTTATGTATTATTGATCAAACACTATGTGATGTCTCTGTAACGATCCCCGATCTATTTATCCACGTCTCTCTAAATTTCTAACATCAGAAAATAAAATACAGCCAAATGCCATTTCAAAGTTTAGGTACTTTTTTAATTTACGATTTTTCTAAATGTTTGTTTATATATATTATGCATATATTCTATTTTCTACGTTTCTTATTACATCTTAATGGTAAAGAGGGTTGTATAGAAACAAGTTTAATATGATTTACAAAGAGATCATTTTTATATTTAATATTAAACTTATATAATTCTTTTTTGTTTCTTTGAATTTATAAAAAAATTTGAAAAAATTGCACCTTGCTTACCTTCTGGTATATATATATATATTTTTTTTTTTAACGATTAAATACCATTGTACACATAATATATAAAAAACTTAATTAATACGTTCGATCGTTTAATTTCACTTAGGAAGAATTGTCAAATTATTGTATATACAAATTTATTATTTATTTATTACAAGTGTAAATGTAAATATCAAATTCTATAGACATGGAAGTGTAAGTAGAAAGATCGAACTTTTTTAAATCTCAAGAGTATAATTTTTTATCGACACGATTTCATATGAGTATTCAAAACCGTTCTAGTGACGAAACCCTTGCCACATTGAGAACACACGTAAGGCCTTTCACCTGAGTGATATCTTTTATGAACGACAAGTGTGGATCTTTGCGTGAATGCTTTACCACACTGATCACATGTATATTTTCTTTCACCCGTGTGTGTGACGTTGTGAGTCCTTAAAATAGTTTCGCAAGTAAAACACTTGCCGCAAATTTCGCACGTGTATGGTTTTTCACCTGTATGAGATCTGTTATGAATCTCGAGACCTTTTGCTGTTTTTAGTTCCTTGCCACACAAAGCACAAAGATATCGACGTCTCTCGTAGTTCAACCAGTTACCGTGGGCCTTCACTTTATGTTGTTTTAAAATTGATTTGTATTTGAACATTTTTCCACAAATTTCACATTTGTGATCCGAACTTTGACAATCCGATCGCATGTGCTTGTTGTCTGTCATTACACTGTTGGGATCGTAATGATGCAAACGATTATGTTCTTTTAAGCTGGAAGAACGATAACAGTAAACTTATTATGAATTTTTTCTTAAATTTAAAAGAAACTTTTACAAATTCAAATTTTAAGATATATTATGTTAACATTTTTTTACAAAAATAAAAAAAATGTATATATAATTATTAAAGAAATAAATTAGATACCTTAAAACATCATTAAATATTCCACCGCATGCATTACACTGATGATGCTTCATAAAATTATGCATAGACGTATGAGTGATAAGTACATCTTTCTCGGTAAATATCTCGCTACAAATCTCACAAGTAAACTTTTCTTCTCGATGATGACGCTTTTTATGTCTTTCTACGTCACTCGTATCAACGCCCATAAAGGTACATTGAGTACACAGTACAGTTTTTGGTGTGTGACATTTTTTTACGTGAGCATTTAGCATAAATTGTTGAGGATAGTTTTTCTCACAAATCATACATTTAAATGGTCGATGAATCCCATGAATAATCCTTAGATGAGCAACCAGTCTTGTTACAAAAAGGAATTTTTGTTTGCATATATCACAGACTTTCTCATTCGTCTCGTATCTGTAAAAATGTGATATTAGTTATTTAGACAATGAAATTATTAAATTTTGATTGTATTATTTTCTAAACATTCATTATTATACATGATTTTGCTCTAATCTTATAATATTATAGCTTGTACTTGAAAGTAAAGAAAAAAAAACTTACAATATTTCAATTATAATCGCAGAGTTATGTTAAATTTTCCAATTGTTTACTCCAACATTCTTATTTCAACTCTTCATTCCAACATCTTTAGTTCAACCGCTCATTCCAACACAACTCTTTATTCGAATATCCTTATTTCGACTCTCTTATATCGACGTTTTTGAAATCACATATGCCCTAAAGTATACACACACAAAACTCACATACTCTCTCACTTCTTCAAATACATATTTCTATATTCTTCATAACAATAGAGGATAACATTTTTTATACTTCTCTCTATATTAGTTGTTATATATTGATATTCTGTATCTATTTAATTTGAACAAGCCGTTCAAACGAAGGAAATATTTAACACTGATATAAATGAAAAATACAGCATGTAAATTATTTTTATTTAGATAACATCAGATTTTTGTTTTTAAATCAATGGGTCTAATTCTAAAGGATTACTGTCCGTTACAAGTACTTTTTTAGTATTGGTAGAGTCCTTGTCATGTACTTTACGATGGTTCTTAAGAAACGTACTGGAAATAAAACTCTTATCACAATCAGGACATTTAAATGGTCTATCTCCCGAATGATAACGAAGATGCATAACCAGAGATGTTCTTTGTGTAAAACGTCTACCACATTCGGAGCAAATGTGTGGTTTTTCTCCAGTGTGAATTCGCAAATGAATTTTTAAATTCTCTTTACTAGTAAATTTCTTAGCACACATTTCACACTTGGCTATTTTTTCACCAGTATGCATACGTCTATGAATCGCCAGTCTATTATGCGAGGACAACGCTTTACCACACAAATCACAAAGATACTTCCTAGTGATTATCTTAGAAGATTTGTTTTTTAACAACTTTTCATCGGACAAGTAGCTTTTGTCAATGAGTTTGTTTGTTGTTGGACTTAGAACATTCGTATTAGACGATAAATTCGCATGTTGAGTTTTCAAATGCCTATTCAAGTTTTTTTTATATAAATACAATTTTTTACAGTATTCACATTGATAAAATTTATCTTTTATGTGTACATTAAAATGTTCTTCATATTCTGCCTTATCGAAGAATCCTTTATTACACTTTTCGCATTTGTAAACGTAATCCTTTCTATGCCTGCGAAGATGAGACTCCAAATTTGATTTTTGATTAGAAGCATAATCGCAAATATCGCAAGTAAATTTTTTTTGACCTGTATGAATCAGTTTGTGACGTGTTATGTTCATTGGACTACGAAAAGCTTTTCCACATTCGTCGCAATGGAATGCGCGTTCAATGCTATGAAGATTTTTCAAATGTTCGACTAATTTCATCATGTGACAGAAACGAGCACGACACTTGATACATTCATGCATACCTTGCGATTTCTTCTTCTGTTGCCTGAAACAAGAGACATATAATATACATGTGACATGATCATCGTTTAATATTATTTGATTGTCTAGTAATTAGGATAATAATGGATTTGATATATGAGTACATATACATATACATATACATATACATATACATATACATATACATATACATATACATATACATATACATATACATATACATATACATATACATATGTACCTACCGATCAAATATGGATGAGGAAATGGTATAAATCTTTTCTTTTTAATTATTTGCGCAATTAAATATAGAATTAATAAGAATTAGAAGATAGTTCGTTAAAAATATTATAAGTAATAATATTTTTTTTAAATTAATAGTATATGTATATTGTGATTTAGTCACAATCGTATCACTCGGTGTATTATTTATAAAAATATAAAATAAATTAACTTACTTATTAAAAGTTTGTGAAATAAATTTTTATTTTTTTTGTTGTAATAAAAAAATGTTGAACATATTGTTATTTGCATTAATTTAAAATATCAACGAAATTGATATTATAATTAATTTTTGAAAAAAAAACGATTATTTTAAATAATTTTTATGACATACACTTTAAAAGAATTTAATTTTTTTCAGTGTAAGAAAAAGAAATAAAAGTGGCACTAATTGATCGAAATCCAAATCAGACTCACAATCAAAGCTCAACGACGAAGATCACTCTATCTTTATCGTATTTTTCGTTGAATATTCCCTAGTGAATTCAGTAACTATACTTTTGACAGATACTACAGGTAGAGGTGGTAAAGGACCAGGATGTCTTTTTCTATGACAAATTAGGCCAGGTTTTTGTGCAAAAGCTTGTCCACAAATATCACAAATGTAAGGTCTTTTTCCAGTGTGTATAAGAACGTGTTGTTCTTGAGCAGTTTGTCTTCTAAAAGATTTACCGCAAACTGGACAGGGAAAAGGCTTGACACCAGTATGTATTCGCATGTGAGAATCGAGGTCACGACCTCGAAATCTTTTTCCACATGTAGGACAGAGAACCTTTTCTCTGTTCTCGTGCCAAGCTAAGTGTTGTTCAAGATTTTCACGAGTGGTCATACCGCGTCTACAAATACGACACACGAACTCAGGTTTATAATGTCTGTATTTCATATGAGCTTTCAATGCATGAAGGTTTTTGCTGAAGTGCCCACAAACATCGCATACAATGGGTGGTGCACCACTGTGATTTTGTTTAACATGGTGATTCAAAGCCTTCTTGATCTTGAATAATTTGCCACAGGTATCGCAGGAATAATCATAACTATTAGTGTGTAAACAAATATAATGATTCTTCAGGGTACCTTTGTTATTACTTTTATACTCGCAAACGCTACACTCGTAGATCTGACGATGATGAATTCTCTCAATGTGAGAGATTAAATAACGTCGAAGACTAAATGTCTTCGAACAATCGGTACATTTATGTTTGTGTTGTTTTAAGTGTTCTATTAGATTACTTTTTTTTCTGAATCTTCGTTGACAATGATCACATTCCACGTTTTTATCTACTTTCTTTTTTGAATTTCCTTTGATATTTAATGTACTTTCATCTTTGAAACGATCTACAAAGAGAACAGATATTTTTTTGAGAGAGTTATCCTCGTTATCAGCTTGTTTCAAAGATCTTGTTTTGTTGTGTTCGTCATATTCAAGTTTCAATGAAGACAGATGAGCGGATTTAATGTCCACACTCAATGGATCGGATACTCTAAAACATACAAGCGAAGTACTTCATTATTGTAAGTTTCAGTTATACTAAAAAATAATTTCGTATCTTTTGCTTTTTTACGATAGACGAAAAATCTATAACAAACGAAACAACTTCAGTTTCTGTTTATGGAGTTTGTGATAATCATATTTGTTATAACATCATGCTAAGGCAAAAACCTCCCCTTACTTACTTACTTTTATTTTTTTTAATCTGGAAAAAATGATTTTTGATAGGTTTGGTGGGATTGCTATAAATGTTATTATTACATTTAGAAATTTAACATCTTTAATTTGTCTACATTTTTCAAGTACACATTCTGATGAGCGTTAAAGGTACATTATTATCATCATCAATTATTCCATCATTTGCAAACATTCAATGATTTGGAAAACCGTCGTCTTATCGCTATCGTGGCACCAAAATTATTTTTTAATAGAATAAAGTAATTTATCTTTCTTTTTCTACTTTACGTTCTTTTTCTGTATTAAAAATTTATCCGTATGTCGCATTAAAATAAAAAATCTTTATCATCGCGATCCTTAATAAACAAAAATTGGAATCAATTTTTTCATGCTAATAAACAATGTTCTACTCTTTTAATGTAACCTGGTAAAATTAAACTATATTAACAGAAAAAGATATTTATTATTATAAATATTCTTTTTCATAAGAAATATATATAATAATAATATATTATTATTCTTATTATTATTTTATGGTAACAAAAATCCCAAGATTCGGTTAAATGATGCTGTTGTTACAACATGTTAGCTAAGCTTACACAATGATAGTTTCAAAATTATGAAATATAGCTTCTCTTACGATTTTAGTTTAAAGTCTGCTTGAATTATAGAATAAATGATGTAACCTAAATTTTCACAAATCTATTTACACTTATCATCAAATATGTTAATTAATCATACAATTATAAAACGTTATTCTTTATTTTTATTTCAGATGCAAGTTTTAAGATCTAATCGATTTTCTTTTTATATTTAGAAGTTATAAACTCTCTGGCTGCTCTGGGCTAATTTATCGATACTCATGCGAAAACTGTTACAGGCAGATTAGATATCGACGCTTTTATAAATTGTTTTATAAAGGGAAAAATTATAATGTTTGTCTTTATTAATAATATGATAGTATATATTAGAGATACGTACAATTCAGCATGAAGGCGAGAAGGATTAAGCGTGAATGAATGTAACCTGACAATCAAAGGTTATTGAGGGACTATTAATCAGCCCATGAAAGCCAAAAAGTTAAACATTTTTTTCTTATGTAATTTGTAGTCAGAAAAGGATCGCGAATGAAAAATTAGATGAAAATTTAAAAATGGGATAAAACATTTATATACTTGTATATAATATATGCATATATAAAAAGAACAAAAAGTCATCTTTTTGGTTCAAAAGAAATGGTTCTATGGATTTATATATTTTTCGCTGATGTCATGTTTAATTATCTTAACAAAAAAAAAACCTTCAATTGACAAACCCGAATTAATATGAATTATAATTAAATGATCCTAATTGATAGAACGAAGACACTTTATGTTTCCTCAATAACTCTCTCATCATTTTCACGAGCATTGATTTCTTGAACATATTCCTCAGTAAATTCCTTAACAATATCAGCGATTGGCATCACAGGTAATGGTGGATGTGGACCAGGATGTGTCTTTCTATGACAAATTAGACCTGGTTTTTGGGTGAAAGCTTTTCCACAAATGTCACAAACAAATGGTCTCTTTCCTGTGTGTATTAGCAAGTGTTGTCTTAGTTGCGATCTTCTTGCGAAAGGTTTTTTACAAATGAGACAAGAATGCGGTTTGCACCCAGTATGAACAGCCATATGTCTCTTGAAAGAGTCTTTTTTTGTGAAGGTTTTACCACATTCCGCGCATACGATTTTTTCTCTTTTTTCATGTTGCATTAAAAGATGTTGATCAAGATTTTCCTGAGTCACCATTCGTCTTTTACAAATATGACATTCATATTTCGGTTTATAATGAGCCCATTTTTGATGAACATAAAGAGAACCACTATTTTGACAAACCTTTCCACAAACGTTACAATTTAATGGTTTTTCTTTATGATGAAATCTTACGTGATTCGTAAGATCACCCTTAACTTTAAATTTTTTTGGACAAAATTTGCATTGATGTTCATATCGATCAGTATGTTTTCTTATAAAGTGTGACTGTAATGAGTGTTTGGACCTACATTCGAATCCGCAAACATCACAAGGAAATACTAGATTGTTCTGTCGTTTTCTAGACCAGGTTTCGTGTTTTCTTTCAAGATGTGCTGCGAATAAGCTTTTCTTTAATGTTCTATAATCACACACAGCGCATATGTAAGCACCATCCTCCTTTATACACACTTTTTTTTTGTGAGTCCACGCAACATGCTTTCGAAAGGATATAGCTGAGTTGAACATCTCCGAACAGAGTTTACATTTTAATGCAGTGTTCGAAACTTTTTTTTTACTTTTCGTTGGAGATAAAGGATCATTCATAGATCCTATGATTTCACTTTCCAGATATTCTACTTCACCTTCATCTTCTTCAGTATCTTTGTTATAAGTTTCCTCAGTTAGAAAAATATTTTCAGATTTTTCATTGACATCTGTAGAGAAAAGCTTTTCGAGAGTTACTGTGCTACCTTGAAGTTTCAACTGATATAAATCTCCCACCGTGTTTCTATTATCTACACTGTTACTACCATTAAATAAAATCGGTTTTACATCCTCTTCTTCTACCTTTTGCTCGTAATCTCCATTAAAAATATTTTCTTCTTCATAAAGGTTCTCATCTATAGAATCATATTGTAAACTTTCTTCTGTATAAAAGCATTCCACTTTTGTTTCCTTATTGTATTCTTTATCTTCTTCTAATTCATCTTCCACTTCGTTCCCTTCTTCTTTCAAAAATTCTTCATCATTCTTTATAATCTCCTCCAATTCTTCAGGAATATTATCGTCTGGTAACGGTACATCATCCTCCGGTACAAATGCATAATACGGCTTTCCATCAAACTCTAAAATCTGCCATTTCCTCATTACCACCGATTCTTTATCGTAGAAGAAAATACCGCGAGAGTCGTAAGTAGCCTCGTGATCAAATCTGAAACATCGATGGATTAAACGTGTTATAAAAGAGTATAAGATAAAAATTATGGTCAAGTTTTGTGATGTCGAATGTATGATTTAACAACAGTAGTTTCTTTTGTTTTGTTCTAATTACGTTAATACCAGGGATTGTCAGTTTCTCTTTTTGTTTGTTCGTTTTTTTTTTAAATTTATGTAGGTGTACGTTTCTAGCTAAAGTCACGTGTGGGTAAATTCTGTGTCAAAGAATACATTGTCGATGTGTTATCGTCTAGTTTTCGTGCAAGAATAGGTATATTCTTGTGAAAAAGAATCATAATGCGAAAAAAAACTCATGTTACCAAATTCGGCTTCATGAATTTCTTTCATAAGTTTTTGATTTTTATACAGAAAACTTTATACGACGTAAATGATAACGCATGGATTTTTATTAATGATAAAAGAAATATCAAAAATAATTAAAACGTTTCCTTGAACTATCACAAATGTTACTAACTACAAAGACAATTACGATTAAAGTATATAAAAATATGATAATTAAGTATAATATATAAATATAATAATAAATAAATTAGGAGAATCCAAGAAATACAATACAAGAATATTTTGATCGATTTGTATAATAGGTAGTGGTGGTACAGTTCCTGAATAAATCTTCCTGTGGTATATAAGATTTTGTTGAGCGAACGACTTGCTATAAACGTTACAAGTGTAAAATTTGTTCGCCGGTATGCAGGAAAAGATGTTGGTTTCTACTACTGTGAATAGTAGAAACTTTACTTTCGAAGATTATAATTTTCAAAAAAAAGTTTTTTTACATTCTTCACAAACCAATTTTTTTTGTCTTTTGTGTTGAGTCAAAACATGTTGGTTCAGGTTCTCCTGGGTGATCAATTCTCTTATGTAATTACCATTAAGATTTGCTCTGATTTCTTGTCTTTGCTTATGTTTAATTTAATATGTTGAAAATGATCAGTTTTGTTTAGATTAATTTAAAGTATTTTTGTGTTTTTCAAGTGATTATTATTTATTTGCTTTGATGTATCTCTAAAACAGAAAAGAGAGTACAACATATTTATGATGATTTCATTTTAACGACAATCTCCAATCGATAATTACTTACTTTCATAATTATAATTAACGAAGATCATGATAGAAATTATCTCACTCCCTGAATTAAGGGTTGCTAGATTGTTTTTTGAAAAAATATAAGGTATTATATTCAGGTATTTATTCTTTTATTTTTTTGTTACTTTGTTTTCTATTTGTGTTAATAAACAAATCAAATACGGTAAATAACAGTAAATAAATGTATTATTTTACACGTGATAATAATAATAATAATAATAATAATAATAGTAATAATAATAATAATAATAATGATGCTTCATTTTTCACATTTGCATTTTTTTCTCATCATTTCTAAGATTCTTGAATGATTATTTTCGTTGAAGTCATTTATAATTTTGTCAGTCATTCTGAAACAAAATTTGTCTAAGATATCTAACTGTTTTGTTAAAATAATATATAACATTAAAAAATTACTTACATTTTCCAAAAACCACTTCTAAAGCCAAAGAATATAAGCTGTAACATTCTTAAAACTAATTAGTATCAGTTTTGTTTTGTAAAGTTTTAATAAAAAAACTGTTTATATATACATAAAAATATATTTTACTTACCATAAAAATAAATTTTTAAAACTTCGTCTTATTTATTGTATAAAAAAACGCATATTTTATATCTTCCTAAAATCATACTTTATTAAAAACATTTTGAATTAATTTTCATATTAATTTATATGATTACTATAATTAAATATGTTATAAATGTAATATAATAGTATTTCTTGATACAATAAAAGTTACAATCAATCAATTCAAATATATTATAGCAAATAAAATTTACAAGTAACATTATCACAATTAATTATGTAATCAAAAATGCCAAATCCTTGCCTTTTATGATTATATAACTTAGCTTTTCTCAAAATACAAGATTTGAGAAAGATATGCAAAACTGAAGAAAAACAGTAATTTTTAATAGTTGAAATATAAATATATATCAAATATAAAACTAATTTTTTCATCTTTAATAAAAATTCTTTAGTATAGTTAGATTTCATATTGCTTCCAAGTAGAGATCTTTTTTCCACCTTAAACATTGTAATCCTTATTAAATAATTCATTGTTTTAGAAACTAAGTACGATGAACCATATTTTTTCTTATATATTATTATCAATCCTTTTTCATAAAATCGCTAAGTATGTGCTTGATGTGTACAACCGGTAAGGGTGGATGAACTCCAGGATGAGATTTCCGATGACAAATCAGTCCAGGTTTTTGTGTGAAGGCCTTACCACAAATATCACAGATATATGGACGTTTTCCTGTGTGTATGAGAAGATGTTGTCTGTAAGCAGTACGACGAGCAAACGCTTTGCCACAAATGTGACAATCATAAGGTCTATCTCCTGTATGAGTCATCATATGTTGCTTCAATCGATGATTTTCAGAAAAGGATTTTCCACATTCTTCACAAACGAAACTTTCACGTCGTTCGTGCTGAAGAAGTATATGCTGATCAAGATTTTCTTGTGTCACCATTCTTCTCTTACAAATCGCACATTCATATTTGGGCTTGAAATGAGCCCACTTTTGATGGACGTATAAGGAATTACTGTTGGAACAAGTTTTACCGCAAACGTCACACACTATTGGGCCTTCTTTATGCTTGAAACGAACATGCAATCTCATATCTCCCTTAACTTTGAATTTCTTACCACAAAATTCACAATCATACTTGTATTCTGATGCATGCTTACGTTCAAGATGTTCCTTTAAACGTCTTCGAGTCTGACATTTGAATTCGCATACATCACAAGCATACTCTTCCTGTTCCGAGAGAATTCCACGATTAGTTTTTCTTCTACCGGTTCGACGAGTTGAGTGTTTTCTACTAATATGAGAATAGAGAGTAGATTTATTTGTACTCTCGTAATTACAATAATTACACATATACGTTAGACTCTCCACGTCATCGATGTTCTCTTCTTGCTCAGGTTTATGTTCTAAGGCTACGTGCATTTTGAAAGCTATCAAGCTACGACAAACTTTGAAACAGACTTTACACTTGTATCGCTGGGCTTGTTCATGTACGGCATTTTTATGACGTTTCAACATTTGCATTACTGGAAAACAAATGTTGCATTCTTCACAAACATACATTTTGCTATCTTCATCGTATGTTTCTTGATCGTTTATAATTGCTTGTTCATCCATCAAAGATTCTTCTTTCTTTATTTTCATAGAACAAAATGTATCATGTTTTTCACTGTACGAAAGATCCTTTTCATTTGAAATTCGTAGTGATTCCTCGAAAATTTCTTTTTTAATTCCCTGAGTTTCTGAATTAATTTTGTTTCTTTCAATTAACGTCTTTTCTTGTTTAGCTGGAACAAATGCGTAGTAAAGACAGCCTTCCAAATCGACGACTTGCCATGGCTGCATTTGGATCGATTCTTTGCCATACACAAAACGTCCATCTTCGTTTAGAATCCTGAAAATTATAGACAAATATCAGACTAATAATATCGAATAGATAAAACAAAGATTTTAATAATACGGTAATATTCGTTTATCACAAAAACATTTAAGACCACAATGGGATCTTTCTGCCTTTGAAATATTCAAAGTTTATAATTTTTATCTATTTAAGTTATTTATATTATAATAAATTGGTAATAATAACGATGAAAAATCAGGATGAAGGTGTTCGTTAGTAATTATTAAACTAATTGTTTACATCTGAAATAATTTGGAGAAATTTTAATTTCCATTGATATATCGTACATGCATAACTATACACCCAGAAAAATATTTGCATATCAAAAACCAGTGTTCTAATTAGTGAAAGACGCTAGTTTTACTATATATATATATCAAATAATTATTCTTTTTCAGTTTTTTATCATTTTACGAATGATATATCATATTTAATTAACCATATACTAGCTCATGAATGTAAATATAGATATAATAAATGTAAAATATGATTTCTTTTTTTAAATGTCAAGAACATCGATAATTCAGAAACATTGTAAGACAGATGTGGATATGTTATTACAGAAAATCTGTGAAAGATTACAAGTGAACTATTAAAATCGATAATAGTCAAAACCCAATAAACCCTGTAAACAGTATTTAAACATTGCACTTTAAGTAAAAAGATATCTATACACGTATGTCTATCTAAATATTAATAATGATTAAAGAATAATAACATTAACATATTCCTTTAGACACTTTTCTTATCTACGTCTTTTAGAATGAGCTAATAACAAGATATTGTAAAAAACACAGGTTGTGCCATATAGCTATATTGAAAAAGTACTAGAAAAGTAGTAATTTAGAAACACGTAATCAGTGGAAAATCAAATAGTCTTAATTATTCATAACTTCATTCAATATATGATCGATGAGAACTCTTGGTAAAGGTGGATGAGATCCTGGGTGAGATTTCCGATGACTGATCAATCCAGGTTTCTGAGTAAAAGCCTTCCCACAAATATCACACACGTATGGTCTCATACCAGTGTGTATTAGAAGATGTTGCTTCAATGCAGTTCTACGCGCAAAAGCTTTGCTGCAGATGGTACAAGTATAAGGCTTATCTCCTGTATGAATTCTCATGTGAACTTTTAATCTACTGTTTCTAGAAAATGTTTTACCACATTCTTCACAAACAACATTCTCCTTTCTCTCATGCTGTCTAATCATATGTTCATTCAAGTTTTCTTGGCTCACCATTCGTCTCTTGCATACTTGACATTCGTATTTAGCTTTGTAATGAGCAAACTTTTGATGCACGTATAGAGAATTGCTATTTAAACAAGTCTTTCCACAGACATCACAAATCACTGGCTGTTCTCGATGACTGAACCTTATATGATTCGTCAGATCACCTTTGACTTTAAATTTCTTTCCACAGGTTTCACAAGAGAATTTAAAATCGTCAGTATGCTTTCTAGCTACGTGAACTTTCAGTTCGTATTTGTTCTTATTTTTGTAATCGCACTGGCTGCAATAAAATAACTCTGGCTGGTCATTACCAGTACAAGATCTTGTAGTTTTGTGCTTTCTTTTGATGTGAGAATACAACGACGTTCTCTTAATCGTTTTGAAGCCACACTCGTTGCAAGCATAAACCTTATTCAAGGCTTCAATTTTATGTTGACGTTTATGTGAATAAAGTGTACTCTTCTTTGCACATTTAAAGTCACAAAGATCACAGCATTCTTCTAGATTAGTTTTGTTGTTGTGCTTCTTGGCAACATGACTCGTCATAGTCGATCTCTTTTTACAACGGAAAGTACAACATGAACAAGAAAAAGTCGGAGCGTTTTGTTGTACTTCTTTATCGAACTTTTCTTCCTCAGCTTTTGTGACTCCACAATTCCACTTGGTTGACCTGCTTGATAAATTTTTTATTTTCTTCTCTGATTTTTGATGACATTGTGCCACATGTGCAGCCAAAATATCATCCTGCTTACACTTAAAGTCACAAATGTCGCAAAAGTGATAAACTTTCTTATTTCTCGTAGATCTTCGTGTGCTTGAATTACCTTCGTTGGAAGAATATTTGCGACTCTTCGAAACAGGTTTAACTTCATTTATCCCATGTTTTCTTTTTAAATGTATGGTTAAACTAATACTTTTTCCACATGAAAAATTACAGAGATTGCAATTGTAATCCCGTTTTTCAACTTGTCCAAATACAGATTTATTGTACTTCCGTAAATTCGAATTTTTAGAGTATCCATATTTTTCTCTTGAGCATTTGATCCTTGGAATAGAGCGTTTGACATTATGGGACAATCTGTGTCTATTCAACATCGTTTTCAAAGGAAACTTCATTCCACAACGATCACAATTATGGTACTTTATAGTTGCGTTTCCTTGAGCACTAATGCGAAGTTCCCCCGTTTCTTTCTTCACAGATAATAATGATGACATTGTGTTTGTTTGATTATCCACTGTTCTTGATATAGATGAATATTCCAATTTGATATTGTGGCAATCATGTTGTAGTAATACAAGAGAATCCTTTTCTTCAGCTGGTTGTCCAAGTTTATCCATTTCTGGATTCTCCATTATAAAATTTTGGTCTCTAAAACAGAATGACAAAATAATGATTATTATCTTGTGAAATTATATGATGTTGATTACATATTGAGACATTACTTACTCCGCGACTATAAGAGCCAATTGTGCAAAATAATTGTCGATGAGATCATTTAACAAAAAAAAGTTGTAAGTAATTTCTGTTTGTTATACTCAGTTTTCAGAATCGATCACTAATTCTTAAGAAATCATACATATATAAAATATATATATATATATATTTAATTTATATCATTACACATAAATATAAATACATATGTAAATATCTAAGATATATGACAAGTATTATGATTTAAATATATATCTAATTATGTACAACTGTGATATTTATATTATAAGATTTATCATATAAGCCATTAACTAATTTCTATGTTGATTTATTAAATAATATAAATATTATTGATAAAAGAAATATTAATGAAAAGCATTATTAAGTTACAATGTCCGATTTAGAATCAATGTTGGCTTCTAAAATGTTTCTATTTTTTTCAAAATGGCATAGGAGGCGAGGATAAATGAGAATCCGGATGTTTTCTTCGATGTTCAATCATGTAATATCGTCTTTTGAAAGCTTGTCCACAAAGATCACATACATGAGGTCTATCCGCCGAATGTGTTAAAAGATGCGTGTTTCTCATGTGAGATGTACGAAAGTTTTTCTTACAAATTTGACAAATGTAAGGTTTAACACCAGTATGAGTGGTTGTGTGTGTAGCCAAATATCTTTTTGTTGCGAAGATCTTGCCACATTCTTTGCACTCGTACGTTCTATCGTGTTGACGCATATGGTTGTCAAGATTTTCCTTAGTTAAAAGCCTTTTGTTGCACACGTCGCATTGAAAATTGTATTCATTCAAATGAGCAACCTTTCTGTGTTTATAAAGCGAGTAATCACTAGTGTAGAATTTTCCACAAATATCACACATATGTCGTGAATTACTGTGAGTACCAATATGAAACTTCAAATCCCATTCCATTTTGAAGCGTTTGCCGCAGTGTTCACATGCGAACTTATAATCATCGGTATGTCTTCTAATGTAATGAGACTTTAAATTATTTTTCGTTTTCGTACGATAGTCACACTTATCACAGCAGTGAAGCAAACTGATGTCCAAATCCTGATGAATCAATTTATGTGCCTTTAAATCACACTTGTATTTAAAAGATTTATTACAGCCATTGCACTTGAATGGTCGATGAAAGCTGTGCTTACTCATTATATGTCGTAATATCTTGCTCTTTTGTTCAAATATTGTTTGACAAATATCACATGTGTAATTACCATCGTTCCGTTTCTTGTAAAGAACTTCCTGATTAGTACGTTTTTCATTACTTGCTGATTGCGATTTATTATCGTTTTCAGTATCTTCTTTTACACGATTTCTTTTTGTTTTCAATGTGCTTGATGACCTCAAAATTTTTATCGCTGCTTTATGTTCGTATCGAAAACTGATGCTTTTGAAACGAGAGTCCTTTGAATAAGAAGTTTGTGAATCGTCCAGACATTTCTTAACATTCCATTTCGTCCGTATTGTCGAATTTCTTCTTTTGACCATACTTCTTTGGTCTAATTGATGAATTGATTTCCTAAAACAAGAATTATCAACATCAGTATATGTATTCTAAATAAAATGCTACGTCATATAATTAGAAATGTTAGCATCGTTTTCCAGAAATAAGGAGTATTCTTCTTATGATAAGGACGTTTTCTTATATTCTGAAAATAACTAGTACATCAACTTTCTAAAATTAATAAAGTACATCCTTAGTATCTGCAAATAAAGGTCTATGAATAACTAATAAAACATATCAAATGTATTAATCATCCTCTTACTCATATTTATTTTCATCTACAATGAAAATTGCATCTTATACTAGTTAAATTGTTAAAATTAAAATATAAATATTGAAATCTTTCTAAATCCAGAAATAAAAAATTTCTTAAGTTTACAAAAAATATAAAAATATAAAAAGATTATTCTTTTCTTTGAGAAGACATCTGAGTTACAGTAATTACTATATTTATTTCTTTTTATTATGAATTAAACGTTTTCTGTTTTTGCGTTTCATACAACACTCTCAAAGATGTTATTAATGAAAATAGATGAAGTAGCCTCTGAATAATCAAGATGTTTTATCCTCATTATCCAAAAAATATTGGTCGTAAAATGAAATCTTATCTATAAATAGAAAACAATAATTTTTGATGTCTATGTGAGTCAAGAAATGAACTTTGTTGTTCATTGTATTTGCAATTGTAATATGATTTTTTATTGGAATTTGTTTCAATGTTTTTCTTCACTTTCTTCGTTTTACATGTTAATTCCATTCCATGTTTATCTCACATATATCGTAGTTAAAATTTACATTAATGAGTGTTTTCAGATTCTTTTGAGACATATATTTCCTGTTACACATAGGATATTAATAGTTTAAATCTTTTGTTCTGAGTTTATAATTCTTATAAAAGTAAAAGGATATTTTGTTGAATAAAGGTGATAATGCATTGATCACAGGTACAATTTTCTTTCTCGTAGGTAATCAAATATTTCATATTTCAAACATATGTACTATATGCGAAACAAAAAAAACTACTCTTTCATGCGAAATGTACCTAAAAAGTGACTCGACGTTAAAGAATAGTTTCTTCAAAGTTGTGACAGATGTTTATTTTATTTCTTCGTAAATAAAATAATTTAAGGATTATATAATAGCTCACCTGTAATTAAAAGCAATGTATTATGGTAAAATTACAGTATAGACATATATAAATTGGTGTCTCTTCGTCTACTATCACTTTGGATCCTTGTATATTATTTTTATATTTGTATTTCTTTAGCACAAATGTTACAAAATTATAATACTCTTTTTTGTTTGTTCCGTCTTAATCTTCTTCATTAAATTTAAACAGGAAGAATTTAATTGTTAAACAATTTAATTGTACTTACACTGTATGCTTGTTGGTTTTTACTTTAATAATACTTTTAACTATAATTTTTTACATATAAAAATTTGTTAATACGTAACATGATAAAAATACAGAAAAACAAAATCAGAATTGAACATTGAATTAAATATATATATATATATATATAATATAAAATATGTATTTTTAAGTATATTATATTACAATATCTATAAGTAGATAAACACAATTAATGAAAAATAAATTTGTGTACATATATTAGTGCTACAATATTATAATAATATGTAAATTTGTATTTAAATCATATTTTTAACTTGGAACAATTTTAATCAATGATAAGCCAATATATGAGATAAGAAAAGATGATATTTAGAAATAACATTAAGGTGATTTAAGATATTATTATTATTATGGAAGTAGGTATTTATTTCTCAGTATTAAACTAATATTTATGATCATCGGTTATGACGTGCCAAAGCCAAGTAGCCGTGGTAAAAAGAATCTTTACATTTCCTATTCTACTAGGTTTGTGTCGTCGATCTGCATGAATTTCCTAACAGTCCTACATGTATTTAGAATGACAGCTTTTTGAATATTAATATATGAATATAATGGTAGGTCTAATAGCTTGAGGCTGTGGTATGATGTTTATGAATTATGCCAATGACGGACAAAACCATAGGTATGATGTATAATTTGTTTATTTTCCATATTTTGGTTATTTCTTTTGTAAGTTCTCTATATTTGCTAACTTTTTCTGTAATTGTTTTTCTTATGCTGTGATTATTATTACTATTATTTTTAAATGGCCTTAGGAACTTATAAACTCATTGTCAAAAAATACCAAATCTCATTAAGAGATTCCTGAGCAAGATCTCTTTATTCGCGATCCTCATACCCTATTACGTTAAGATCTTTTCTAATATCTTTCCAACTACATCTCGATCTAACCCATATTTTTAGATATTGCAGCAATATATCAATTATTTGAATACTCTAAAATGTCAACTTTCTTTTAATTAATTTCTTTTTAGTCATTTTTATGAAATTTTTCCTACTAATACCAATACTTCCTTTTCTCGTAATTTGAACCTAAAATTTATTTAAATATCATGTAATGCTTTGTGCTTCAAAAAAGGACCTTGATATTTGAATTGCGCTTTACAAATGTCGCATGAAAAATTAAGTGCATGTCGTAACTTATGTTTTTCGAGAATGGAAGCATTTTTAAAAGACCATTTACAATGAGGACAGTGATAATTATATACAGATGTATCTCTCTTCTTCTTCTTTTCTCTGAGGATTTTATTTTTCAAAGCATTAGGTAATGGTCTTTTAATGAGCTTCCTCTTCCTACTCTTATCACTATTGTCCGTAGAATGATTATCTTTGACAGACATTTCTGAGATATGTTTTTTCATCATATGTCTCTTTACATCTCCCTTGAAATTATATTTCTTCGGACAATATGGGCAACAAAATCGAACTACTAATTCATTTTTAGTACGTTCATCCTCTGGCAACAAGTAATCAATTTCGTAATGTTTGTTCCTTATATGTCTTATTAAATCTTTTTTGTGATTATAGAGATTAGAACATTGGGGACAAGAGAATCGAGAAACTTTGAAATAAGTACTCAACACGTTGTCTTTCCTTGTAGATTTCAATTCACAATTTTCACAATAACGCATATCAAGTTTGGAGCCATTTGTAATCATATGACTTTTTGGCGATTTTCTGTTCTTCAACAAAATATTACACATCGAACACCTGTTGGAATTCTTGTTACTGTATGTGTCATTGTTCTTGTCTTCGTTTTTGTCATCTTTCTCGTCACTATTCTCGTCATCATTTTCGTCATTATTTTCGTCATCACTCTCGTAATACTTCTCCTCATCATCATTCTCGTCATCGTTCTTGTCATCGTTCTCGTCATCGTTCTTGTCATCGTTCTCGTCATCGTTCTCGTCATCGTTCTTGTCATCGTGTGTGTTATTGTGATCCATCAGATGAAACTGTAAGTCCGAATTTGTATCAAAAATCTTCTTGCACACATAACACATAAATACATCTGTCACATTTGTTCTGGATTTTTCAAGAAGCTTGGTAGTTATTAATCGATTTGGCACATTTGGAATAATGCACTCATTTGTAGGCTCTACTTTTATTCCGATTACATTTTCGAGTAATTTTTCAGTGTTCATCATTTGTCCTATCGGTAACGAGTTGTTCATCGTTATTGGCACTGCATAATACTCGTCAGTTCTGTGTATTAAGAGATAATTTTGCTCGAGTGGATCTTGGACTGCGAACCTAAAAAATTAGGATATGTTAATATTAATTTTTTGTTAGAAAAAAGAAAATAGTAAATTAATTTATCTATATATACAATTAAAAATAAATTGTATATATAGATATTTTTACTAGAATAAGAAATTTGTGTATATGTATATGAATACGCATATATAAATAGAGAAAGAGACATAAATTCTCTTACGTTAGAAATGTTATAATGTCAATTGGATTATCTAAGGATCAGAAAAAGATACCAATTCAAATTATACCGAAGATCACAAACACTTTCCTCATTGGCAATTCGAATAGTCAAATAGCTGCAAAGCAGCTGTAATAAATCTATTTTGTAAATTTTATTGTTATATTAAAAGTAAATGTATTCAAGTGTACTGTAAAAATTGTAAAAATCATAATAATCAATATCATTATTTTAAACATAAAATATGAAGATTTCCTATTATATTTTAGAATTTTTCTAAATAATAATAGCGAATAGTTAGGATATAGAGTATTTACAAAATTATATTTTATGTATAGACTAGTGTATTTACAATAAAATGATCATCGATGGCAGGGTACGAGCAAATATCGCAAATGATATTTTTCAAAATCTTATTTTATATCAACTTATTTACATAAGAAGATATAATATTTCGCTGTTTGTTTATAATAAAAAGTAATAAATACAAACATAAAAATCGTAAAGATATTCGACAATACAATTATTTTTGCGATAACAGTAAATATTATTTTCATTTATCAAAAACATACATTTAATTCAAATACATATCACATAAATTCTATGCTGTACATTGCATCATCCCAGAGAAATATATTTTATTAAAACATATTTTACTTTTCCTTTTTTTCTTTATACGCTAGAGAAAATAAATTTACATTTTATGTATATATAGCAGTATAAAAAGTCATGAATTAAATTTACAAGTCATTAAAAAATATTATATTTTTAGAGCGTAGGCGTAAATAAATTTGTGACAATTTAATGAAAAAAAAGAATTAAGTAAAAAAATCGTGAATTTGGAAATAACGAGTTACTTATCTGTATCTTCTTTTTTTTCTTTTTCTAAGCAAGTTTTTTCTTTTTGTGTAATTTTCAGTTAATAACGATACTAATAAATAGATCATAATAAATTTTAAAGACATTAAGCTTAATGTTCATACATAATGAACTTCCTTTGTGCGTTTATCTCGTTAAGAAAAAGATATAATAACAAATTTTATTTTACATTCGTGTTTATAATGATCTTGTCTTGTACACCATGCAACAAATTAGTGATTTTGATTGGAGGTGGCGGTGGATGCACACCAGGATGTTTTCTTCTATGTAACATCATTGGAGATCTCTGTGTGAAGCTTTGACCACAAATATCACAAACGTAAGGACGTTCGCCAACGTGTTTGAGCAGATGAATTTTTTGTGAACTCAAACAACCAAATGTTTTCCCACAAATCGCGCAAAGATAAGATTTTTCACCAGAATGTGTTCTCAAGTGTTTTGTTAGGCCATACTTAAATTTAAATTCCATTCCGCATTGTTCACAAACATATTTCATCTTATGTAACTCTGCATGATTATCAAGATTCTTTTGACTTTTAAATTTCTTTCTACAAGTCGAACACTCGAATTCCTTGATTTTGGTCTTATGTTTGTAATGTTTATGAAAGTAGAGAGAGCTTTTGCTTGGATATGAAGATCCACAAATATCGCAAACGCAAGATTCAGTATCATGATCTTTCATATGCGTGGTATAGTCTGATTGAACTTTAAACATTTTTCCACATTGCTCGCAACTGTAATTGTAATCCTCTGTGTGTTTACGAATATAATGAATTTTAAGATATGGTTTTGTTCTAGCTTTGAAGTCGCACAATGTGCATGCATGTAATTGTGCCGGTTCATCGTGTATTTCCATGTGTCTTGATAAATAAGCACCAGTTTTAAATCCTTTCGAACAAATTCGGCACTTGTGAGGCCTCGAATTACTATGTTTGAACATATGACTGGTAAGTTTGCTTTTGCGATCGAAAGTAAGGTGACAAATCTCACAAGAGTATGGCTTTTTTTTTAATCTAGCCAATCTATCAGACTTCGTTTTCAAATTCTTTTCTTCACACATTTTTCTAAAATCAAGAGGTGTATCATCCAAATCATCCGTAATATCAGTATTTTCTTTGATACGTTTTTGTTTACTTCTCGTTTGTATAGAACTATCACTGTTCTTTTTTTTCATTACATTTTTTTCTGTAGAATCATTTTTGTTTGGATTTGGTTCCTTCATCATAAAGACGCTTAAAGATTTTGGAATGCGAAAGTACTCATCTCCCAATTTCACTGTGAGAAAAGATGGACCGAGTGAGTTGAGTGAGTTACACCTAAAAACATTTCAAAGCCAATTTTTCAATCAGTAGTTATTCTAAAGATTAACTAATCTAATTTATCGTTATATATGTGTTGACTTTTTTTTTTACAAAAGATTAATATCTTATCTAGTATGTGACCAATAACAAAAATCTCAGTTTTTACTTTCTATTTCTTTAGAAAAGAGAAAAGAAAAGAAATTTCTTATAAATCAATCGTCCTACCTTTCAGATTGAGCTGCAATATTACTAGACGATGCATTAGGAAGTTCTACTGTATTATCATCACAGATATTCTGTGCTCCATTCTGAGTAGATGCTACGTAGAATGGCTCATTACCCACCGTCATCGTTACACGTGGTTGGATGTATAAAGGATCGTTGTTATTGGTCATCCTAAAACAATGAAACGTAATTAGAATCAAATGATCACAATTTTATTTTTATTTTTAAATCATGCGGTCAATAGACTCACAACTATCTGCAATTTTTTTTTTTTTTGCAAATTATGATACTTCTTATACTTGTATATAAGTATATATATACATATATATACACATATATATTTATAATACTCATAATTTCACAGTAGTAATAAAAAAACTTACGCTCTTAAAACGTTTATTATTCATATAAAAAAGTAATACTTGCAAGAAAATCACCATGTTTTTGTCATATATGTATTATCAGCAATCTATAATATAAATATATACACATTTAATTTTATTTCATAATACATATCATTAAACAATATATAACACAAATAGAGTTCATATAATGTATACACAAAATAACATTTTTTAGCGTTCATTTTTATATTTTACTTTTATGCGTATTTATAACCACATGTATGTTTTTTTCAAAAGTCTGAATACTTTTATAAAATATTTGTATATGTTACGGTCAATGTAAAGAATCCAGATATTGTATAGAATTCCCAAAGGCAATCTAAAATATAAATGCTTCGGTTGCCTATGTCAAGAACATTGTGAATACATTTTTAAATTTCTATAGTTTGTTTCAGTTACACGAGCTTAAAAATACTTCTCTCACCCCGTGCACTAAACATAGCTCATTAAAACATATATTCAATTGGTTAAAACCCTCTGGGCAGTCTAGAGATTGGTAGGGCAAGGTACGAAAAATATGCTCAAAATATACATTGCCCAATCTTTAGTGGACATTCTATACAATGCCCGACCTCTGTACATTGACCGTAACATATACGGATTATATAATAATTGTAACTCTAACTATAATCATACATGATAACTAGCATGAGTTTCGTACTGTAGATCTTTAAGCACTTGTGGTGAAAAAAGGAAAAATATTACACTTCGAATAATTCTTATTCAAAAAATAATTAAATTATTTGATATATTTATACTAATTATTAATTAGACCACTTAAAAATGATTTTGATTTTATCAATCTATTTTTTGTTCACGAGTTTTGATTATATTTAAAATATAATAAGTTATGAAGGAATATTTCTTCGTAATTCATTTTAAACGAATCTTAAATTTAAGAAATAAAATAAAAATTGACTACTTGTGTGTATTTGTAATGTATTTGTATGGATCAACAAAAAAGAAGTTTTCTTATTAATATACAAATTCTTTTCTATATAAAATTAAAATATCTGCCGACTTACAAAAAGAAGAAATCTTTTCTTTTCTCTCTCAATATTAGTTAATTCATTGTGTAATATACAAACACACAAAGACAAGGAATATTCTGTATAGATTAAAATTTTATGTAAAAGTAGATTAAAAAATATATATATATTTCTCTTCGAAAAATAAATTATTCAAATCGAAGTACGTTTCTATGGAAAAAACTAGCAAACGTGTAAGCACGTTCAATGAGATGTTTTGTCTATCTGACCGTTTTGAAATTTCTGCATATAACTTCTGGCAAGTTCAGCAATTTGTGGACTAGGTAAGACCAGCGGTGGAAGTGTTCCTGGATGATTTCTACGATGTCTTATAAGGCTGGATCGTTGTGTAAAATCTTCTTCACAGATGTCACATTTATATGGTCGAATTCCAGCATGAGTTAGAACGTGTTGATGAAAATTGCTAACACATGTAAACACTTTTTGACAAAATATACAAGTAGAACTACTTGGTCTACTGTGTTTAAAACGTTTATGATTTTTCAGCTCTCTACTTCCATTAAAGCTTTCATTGCAATCTATACACTTGAATCCATTTTCGTGTTGCAATAAATGTCTATCCAATCGACTTCTATGACAAAATTTTTGAGGACACAGATGACAAGGAAAATTGTAGAGCTTCTTATGAGCTTTCCTTTGATGAATATATTCGTGTCCTTTAACATCTCTTACCTCTTTACCGCAATACCGACAAATTTGTAACTCAAATGGATGAGCTTTCTTTATATGATTCGTTAAATCTATCTTTAACTTATAACTTCTACCACATTGTTCGCAAACAAAAACTGGATTATTCCTATCATGAGCACGTATATTATGCCGCTTCAAACCACCCTCACTTTTATACTTCACATGACATTCCATACACTCGAAGAAATAATCTGGTCTATGTATCACCTTGTGCACATCAAGAGCAGTTTGCGTGTTGTAAGATCTCTTGCACATGTCACACTTGTACTGTCTTTGATGAACTACCATTACATGCCTTTCAACATTCTGTTCATTACTAAATTGTTTATCGCAGAATGGACAAACGTTTCGTATTTTATCCAATAAATCAACCTCGACATTCTCTTTGCAAATTTTTACTGAAGAATCCATTGTTGTGCTCTTCTTTGTCAATTTATTTGTTTCTGAAATTGGTTCACCGGCATTAACGAATTGGAAAATTGCAAATGTATTTTCCTTATGCACTTTTTTCTCCTCTTCTTTTTCTTTTTGTTTTTCTTCTTCCTTCTCATCTTCATTTTTCAAATCTTTCACATCTTCCGCTATCTTCTCTTTCTTGATATCCATCTTTCTTTTTTCTTCTTCTGATGTATTTTCTCTTTCAACGTTTCTTCTTTTTCTCTGCTTCCTGATACATTTTTCTCTGAAACAAGTATATGTACCATTAGTAGAATGAAAATCACCAAATTAGGGGGAAAAAAATACGTCTCAACATGCCACATTTTAAAAAAGAAATCAAAATTTCGTATATGTACGGGTACGATTAATTTTATTTACGTTTTTTTTACTTTACGTCCAATCTTTCTTTCTTATATGTGAGTATCTGAAAAAAAGAAAATTAACAAATTTTGCAACAAAGAATATTTTTGTTTCAAATTTTACCTGTTTTACTATTTATTATTCTAAAAATTTTTAAAAAATTTTAAAAAGAAAGAAGAAAATAAAACAAAAATAATACATAATAATATTTAATATAAAGAACAATGGTATCTTTTATAATAGATATATAATGAATATAAATATTTTTAACCATTTCACAATAAAATCAATCGATTCTGTCAAGAAAAAGAAATTTAATGTACTTTTACTTTTATTCAAATTATTCTTGCCTGGATACTTCCTTGGATGTTGAAAATTTCATCGTCCATCTATAATTTCATTTAATAATATTTTGAATTTCTTTTAATAATTTATAAGTTATAAAATGAGATATACTTTAACATTGCATTGTTAGAAGTTTTATTTTCATTCGTTTTTTTTCTGTCATCTCATTTCAGATTATATCACTAGTAATATTAAAAAATATTATTCCTTTTAGTACTCAATTTTATTTCTTATTTTTTCTTTACAGTAATACTATTGGATTACACATTCTTCTTGATATTTCTTCTTATTAGTCCTCAATAAATATCAATTATCTGAAACATCCAATCAATTTAGTAAATAAAAAAAAAAAAGGAAATAGAAAAGATAATACAATCATAATAATATGTAGAAATAATGAGAAGCTTACTCTTATTAGGAATTTTTCCTAGAATCTACTAACCTTTTTTTTTTTTTTTAATAAATCTTCTGGGTTTGATTTGAGAAGATTTTCATAATTTATTTAATAATTTTTTTTCTTCTCTTCTCCCCTTTTCTCTTTCTCTTTCTATATATGTATCTCAATTTTTATGTGTTTACTTTACAAAACTTACTTTATACAAAGCTAAGGACAAAAATTGAAAATTTCCAATAGATCAAACAATGATGGATCTTTCACAAAATGTTCGTAATTACTTGTTAATTATACAAATTATTTCAAATTAAAATTTTCTAGTTTTCTTCTTTTTTTTTTTGGCAAAATAATATTAAGTACAACATAAATCAGTTTAGTGTTTTTTCCTTTACTTAAGCGCAAAAAAGGACTTATTTAACTTTGCATTATTATTTATATTGATTAACTGTTATACCTTACATCATCATCGTAACTATCTAATTGTTAAATCTAAACATTTGTATATACATTCAATTATATCAATTTACGAATACTTTCACTCACTTATACAATACTTTAGTGCCATTCCTTATTCACTCCTTTTATCATACACTATGCGAATTTATATAATGGTATAAAATCTTGTGACTGCTTTGAGTTATTAACCATTCTAAAAGCATACATACTTCATTCTTAACACACATTCGACTGATCTCACTAGCATGAACGCGAGAGTTTTATTTATTTCTTACGTATCCTAAATAATAATAATAATATTAATATAATAGTAATAATAATAATAATAATAATAATATTAATAATAATAAATTTTTAATACACAATGAAAATCAAGTGCACCCTGTTTAACTCTTTTCGTTGTGTTATTGAAGGCATATTGAAATATTTTTTTTAATTCTTTACTAATTTTAAAGAGATGATAATTTTACATAATAGCTCAAAAGTAACACAATTCCTCTTTCTCTCAAGAGATGAATCTCTCAATGTTTCTTATTCCTTCCTTCCATTATCCTTATTTCTTCCATTCATCCTTTACACTTTCTCTTTCGCATTTGGAATTTCTTTGATCTCTGATATATACAATAATCGATGGATTACTCTTTAGGAAGACTCAAGAAGATAAATTATTTTCATAATGAAAGCATTACGTGATATAAGCACATAGTCATAATAATGATAATAATAATAATAATAATAATAATAATAATAATAATAATAATAATAATAATAATAATAAAAATATCTAAGTAATTTACAAATATTTTTATTCGCTCGTCTCTTTATTATAAAAAATCTTTGCCTACAAAGAATACAAAAAAAAAATATAATTATTAGATGTAATGAATATACAAAAAGAGAGAAATACGGTGTAATGTATGAAGAAAGCCATGAAACACAGTCTTACAAAATAATGGCAAATATTTGAAACGTACATTGAAAAAGCACAAAGAAACTTGAGAAAATGAATACAGGTACGAATTAATATACAAATCAATAACTAAACTATTAAATTTATTAGAGAAAATGAATTTGATCGATTTTGTTAAATTAAATTTTGTTTAGCGAACATATATACGTGCATACATACATATGCATAATCTTACACACCAAACATACTCACATATATGCCTGCCAAATAAACAACAGAATCGAACCAAGAATGTCATTTGTTGATCGAATATTGTTTCTTTTTTAAACGCAGGTGGACTTCTGGTGTGCCGTGAGATTACCCTGACAGGAAAAGCCACGATTACAAATTTGACAGACGTAAGGTCTCTCCCCGGTATGTCCGCGTCTGTGTATAGTTAGAGTCGATCTTTGTGAGAAAGCTTTAGGACACTGATCGCATTGGTATGGTTTTTCTCCTGTATGAACGCGCCTGTGCATCCTAAGATTTTCCGAATCGGTGAATCCCTTTCCACATATGTCACATACATAAGGTTTTTCACCGGTATGAATTCGTCGATGTTTCTTCAAATGTTCAGCACTGCTAAGACTTTTGCCGCAATAATCACAGAGATAGAGTTTGGTTGGATTGTGGCTCTCTTTATGGCGAAATAATGATCTCTTGGTAGCAAGAACGCGACCGCATATATCACAAGCAGTACTGGTCACCTTGTTGGCCTTCATTTCTGGATGCATTCGACGGCAATGTGCTGAGAGTTGTCTTCTTAAGAAAAAGGCTGTTCCACAGATTTGACAGACAAACGGCTTGTCACCAGAATGAATATTATAGTGTTCCTGCAGATCAATAGCCTTGCGGAAATGTTTGTCGCATTCGTTACACTTAAACGGTAGATCAGCCTTATCTGTATGTCGTAACATATGAATGCTGAGAGCAGCTAATACCGTAGTCTCGTAATCGCAATGCTTGCACATGTAACTTGGATAAAAATGAGTCTTCTCGTGCCTAGTGAGATCGCGGAAGAGACGGAATTTTTTGGGGCAGTGCTTGCAAGTGAGATCACCAACGGTATGTCGTAACAAGTGTTTTTGGTAATTACTCTTGTGCCGGAAAACCTTGTTACAAGTTTTACAGAGTAATTCCAATTCTGGTTTCTCTTTTTTCACTTTTTTTAAAGACGTAGATCGACTAACCATTTTAGTTCCATTCGTTTTACGTGTCCCTTTGCGACCGTTGTGCTTTTTCATGTGTTTTCGTAGATTAACATAAGTTCGAAATACTCGGCCGCACTGAGCGCAAGTATTTTTACGTTTACCCTTGTGCTCGATCTCATGATTGTCCAAAAGAGTTTGATTGGCAAAAAATACGCCGCATACTTTGCAATTATACGTAAAAGAAAGATTCTCCTCTTCATCATCCATATCTACTTCCTGTTTTATCACCTTTTGTTGCTCTTCATCATTGTCGGCAGTAATTGTTAAATTATTTCCTGCTTCTTCGCTCGCACCTTCTTTCGGACGATTTGCTACAGCTGATCTCTCGGGCTCCACATCCTTCTTTACCAGGTCGAGTTTTGTTAACATTACCATCGGGTAATAGTCTTCAGTAAAGGGTGGTAGCCGGTCGTGGTACCTGAAATGTGAAAATTCAAATGGCCACATCAGTATCTCATATCTCCTATTATCTGATGATCTGTATGTGTTTGTTTGTTTCTTTCTTAGTGATTCTGGCATCCGACAAATCGCAAGAAATCATGCCGCCTAAACATTATTTGACACAATTCAATATAAGTAAAATGTTACTATTTATTTTAATTGCGATTATAAATCCATATCAGGTTTATTTTACAGTCACAATATTGCAGGACTTTGATGATAAGTATCGATCGAAATTCTTCGAAATCGATTCAAAATGTATCTAAGTAAATATAAATACTACGTAAGTTACAAAATTTTGTTTACAATAAATTTGTTTAATTTAAAACTTTTTTCTTTCTTTTCTTTTAACAACACCTCGTATTATAAGATATTTATTCTCTTTAATTTTAAAAGGGTTATAAAAGATACAAATATGTTAGTGATTTTTTTCTTCTTATATAATAAGACAGAGTAAAGTTTGTGATAAAAAAAAAAAAGAATAACATTATAATGCGAAACGCTGTTTAGACAAAAAGAAAAAAGGAATCGTTCGAGATCCATAAATAAAATAGAAGATTCGGATCACCTTTTTCGACGAAGATTTACACTTTCTCTCTTAGTAAACATTGGAAGTTTATGTAGGTTGAACAATCATAACGTTGACCTCATGTATTTTGTTATGAGCATTCAAAAGTGCTCTAGAAACGAAAGATTTGTTACAAAAAGTGCACTGATAAGGTCTTTGTCCAGTGTGATATCTCTTGTGAATAACCAAAGTGGAATGTTGAGTGAAAGATTTGCCACATGTATCACACGAATATGGCTTTTCTCCGGTATGAGTTCTCTTGTGAACAACTAGAGTAGTTCTCTTGTGAAAAGCTTTGCCGCAGACATCGCACACGAGTGATTTCTCGCCACCGTGAAGTCGAAGATGATCTTGAAGTGAACCTTTAGAGGAAACTGATTTTCCACAAAGATGACAATCATATTTGTTTTCGCCAGTATGTGATTTCACATGTACAACCAAAGAATTCTTATAAGCGAATATCTTGCCACAAAATTCGCACTGATGTTTCATAGGCTTGAAATTAGGATCGTGTACCTTCGTATGTCGTACCAATGTATGATTATTAGGAAATGATTTTCCACAGGAATGACATACGTGTTCCTTGGCACCATGTCTTACGTTCATATGACCATGTAACTCAGCATTCGTGAAGAAGCCCTTATTACATATTTCACAGTATCTGGTATATTTTTCAAAATGTCGTCTTTGATGTGTCGCCAATTGTGAAGCCTGAACGAAAGCTCGACCACAAACGTCACATACGTAATTTCTTTCTCGTGTGTGTATTCTTTTATGTACAGCTAAAGTGTTAGTTCTTTTAAACGATTTGCCACAAACATCACACTGATAGGGTCTTGCATCACTGTGTGCAACTAAATGTCCTTCGAAGAGATTCTTCAATTTGAAACGTTTAGTACATTTGTTACACTGATAATAACGTTTTTCTGATTCTTTTAATAAAGTAACTGTACGATCTTCGACATTTTCCTTCCTCATTTCTTCTTCTTCTTCATTATCATTATCATTATCATTATCATTATCATTATCATTATCATTATCATTATCATTATCATTATCATTATCATTATCATTATCATTATCATTATCATCTTCATCATCATCTTCATCTTTTTCTTCTTCTTCTTCATTGATTTTTTGCATCGATGTGTTCTTATTTATCATCCAATCATTTTCTTCTAAAGTGTTTTCATCCTTTATGATGGTTTCTATCAGTAACGTATCTTTAGTTGTTTCTTCGACATCTTCGTTTTTTCCCAATAAGCTTTTACATCTGGAATGAAAATAAAAGTTGCGTGGGTCAGTCGTTAAACGTAATGACAACTTTTCTTTCTTTTTCTCTTGGTCGTTTATAGTTCTGGATGGTCAAATACAACATTGGAATGATTATTAAAGACATATACGATTTTTAGGAATGTTTTTGGGGAACAATTTTTTTTTCTTATGTTTTAATCAATACTGTATTGTATATATGTATATATTTAGATTTACAATACAGTATTGATTAAATATATATCTTCTTTCTTCTTTTTTTTATTCTATCAGACTCGCTGTACTATCAGCATTTTGATACAATAATTTTCTTAGAATTATTAACTTCATCGAGAGTTATAATATAAAACTTTTTGTTTAGATTAAATGAACAGTTTAATCAATTACATCAGTAGATACTTGTTTTACTTTTAGTATTTGGAATTTTCATTTAGGTGTCATATCGAACCTCACGCGTTAGCTTCCTTTTATTGCACAGTCTAAATCTGAAAATATAATGATTAATAAATTCACACGTCTATCGAATTGAAATATTTACGATAAAAACTTACCTGATTATAACGAATAATATTAATTTAAATCGAAATAAGGAGATTACAGGTTATGAAATTAAAAAAACGTATTGCTATATATATATATATATATATATATATATACATGTATATTTTACGTTTTGATTATTCGCTTATGATTTTTATTGATTGATTACAAAATATATCATTAAATAGATTAATCTATACCATTTTTGTTATTTGTAGAAAAAGCACCATAAGAGTAATTATCTAATATTATAATTATAGATCTAGTATAACGCACTTGTATAAAAAAAAAAACAATAATATGCATCTAACAAGTATTTCTAAAATACTATATACTGACAAATTATTTCTATTAGAGCCCATTATTTAAATCATACATTATCGAAATGAGTCTAAATAAAATTAAAAAAAAAAATAGAGTGACTCGAAAAAAAATGGATATTTAGAGAATACAAATAGTTTTGTATATAATAGAATATTTATGGCTCATAGTATCTATCGATGCATAATATATATTTTTAACTTATGATCTTTTCAACATAATCCTAATGTTTTACATTAATCTAGAATTTAATCGAATACTTTACTAAAAATGTTAAATAAATATTTTTTTTTATAAAGAACAGGAGCTAGTAAAAGTTTTTTCTCTTTCAATGATAAAAATTAACGATAAAATTAACTATATTTCTTTATATAGAACACTATGCAATTAATAAAATAATCAAATTTTGTCAAAATAATAATAAAAATAAATAATAATCAGCGCCTTTTAATATACGAATTTGATTAGTTGTAATAAATTGAATATAAATAATATAATATGGACGGTAAGAGAAATTCGTTCATCATTTTTATATGTTACATTTTACATTAACAATTTACATAGCATTCGCAAGCAGAATCTTTTATTAGAAAATATTATTAATTCAATATAGAATCTTTGGTTTAATTACTTGCTGTCATTGTGCGATTTCATGTGAGAACTCAATGATCCTTGTTGAGTAAACCTCTTCTGACAGACTTTACATTCATAAGGCTTTTCTCCTGTGTGCGTTCTCAAATGTACAATGAGATATTTCTTAACGCTAAATGCTTTTCCACATACTTCACAAACGTGTGGCTTTTCACCGGAATGTATTCGCATGTGAATTTGCAAATAAGTTTTACTCGATACAGATTTTCCACATATTTCACAAGTTATTTGATTTTCACCACTATGTATCTTCAGATGTACTTTCAAAGCAGCCTTCCAGTGACTTTCAAAATTGCAGATATTACACTTATGTGTCTCACGTTGACCATGAGACTTTACATGCATATTTAAATAAGCTGAACTTGCGTAACAAGTATTACAAATTTTACAAACGAATGGTTTCTCACCAGTATGCGTTAATAAATGTCTCTCTAATGTCTGATTTGTGTAAAATCCTTTATCACAAATTTTACAATGAGTCACATATTCCTGATTGTGCTTCTTTTTGTGCAAACGCAAATCATATCCAGATACTTTTGAGATACCACAGATGTCACAAGTAAAACGTTTGCTGTGTTGTTTTAAATGTGTTTTTAAGAATTCTTCGGTTTTGAAACATTTACCACAGAGAGCACACTGAAATGGTTTTTCTTGTTGATGAACCTTGATCATATGTTTATGCAACTTCTTTTCATTCAGAAATACCCTATCGCATTCTTCACAACGATTATCGTAGTCCGTAATATCTTCAGATTCATTTTCATGTTCATGTTTGTGCTTATCAAGTTGAAGCTTCTTTCGGAATTTCTTATCACAAACATCACATTGATAAATGTTTGAATATTTTCGGTTTGGTAAACATTTACTATGATGATGTATATTACTTCTTTCTAATTCCGAATTGCAATATATTCTTCTTGTTTTTTTTGAATATTGCAAAGAATCGTTTTTTGTAATTTCTTTATTTTTGTGTTTAGGTAATTCCATTGTATATCCATCATGTTTTGTCCCGTCACACCTGCAATAAATAACATACATCAACATATGTAGAGAATTAAAAAAAAAAAAAAAAAAAAAAGTGAAAGAAAGAAAAAAAATCTACATGTTCTTGGTCAAAATTTTTTCTTCCTGTCGTTCGTTTTCTTCCAATAAAAATTAGATTTTCAAAATGGGTATCTAGAAATAATATATGTTTTTTCTTTTTTTTTTATGTGTTAATAAACAAACATCACTTCTCTTGATGGTCGACATCAAACAAGTAAACTTCTACTTTAAACTGAAATGTTTTTTTTTTAAGAGTTGACACGTGTCTTCTTATGGATTAAAATGAAAAACTTAAAGATGCAACAATGTATACACCAACCTTTTGAAAACATTATTAGAATTTGTTTCTTAGCATTCCGTCCTTTACAGTGTGGTGTATTATTTAAGTAAAATAGTAACTTGAAACCATTTATGTAGATTATTAATAATACTTCTAATTTATTTTTAAATTGTTATCAATATGATTAAACTATTTACAAGGTTTATCGAATACGATTTACAAAAACAAAAGATGAAACTTTTTTTTTAATAGATCATAGAAAAATATGTTCATAATTTATGAATGATTGTTAGTCAGTTTTGTTAATTATGTCCATGCAGGAAAAATATATGTTACTGTACTTCAAAGTATGAATAAATGTGTACAAATGAAATATCTTTTGTTTAAATATTGTAAGATGATGAAGACTGAGTTCTAATAAGAAGAGCGACTATTAAATCACTTGGTGCCGTCGTGTCTACGAAGATGTGCACTCAAAGTACCACGTTGCGTAAATCTCTTTTCACAAATCTTACACTTGTATGGTCTTTCGCCAGTATGAGTACGTCTATGCTTGATCAAATACTTTCTTGAACTAAATGCTTTCCCACAAAACTCACAAATCTCAGGTTTTTCGCCTGTGTGTATTCTGATATGAATCTTCATGTATTGCCTTCTTATCAATTTCCCACAAACTTCACAAGCAATTTGACTCTCGCCTGTGTGTGTCCAAAGATGTTCCTTATAGCAATAACTGTAGAATGTTTCGAACCCGCAAATATCACACTTGTATTTCTTCCTCGTACCAGGCTGACTATGAATTTTCATATGACTTCTTAAATAAACTCGATTACCGAATGATTTGTGGCAGATTTCACAAGTGCATGGCTTGTCATCAGTGTGAACGCTCATATGAGTTTTTAATGTCGCTTTCAAATAAAATCCCTTGTTACAAATCTTACAAAACTCAGTAAACTCCTTGTTGTGACGTCTGATATGAATTTTTAGGTAATATTCAGAGGTAAGCTTGGCCCCACACACATGACAAATGTGTGGAGCACCATGAAGAGTTTTATGGACATTTAAATATTTTTTCTTTTTGAATACCTTATGACATATGTTACATTCAATTGGCCCAACATTTGGTTCAGTTATCAATCGTTGCTTCGATTTTAATTTCGTTATCTTTTCTCGATTATTTTGTTTCTTTCGTTCAACAATATCTTTACAAAGTGTACGCCGATGCTTAATTAATAACAATTTTTTGACAAATTTTTCACCACAAGTATCACACTCATACTTCCTTTCAGCCGTACGCAAAGCTTCTCTTGTTCTAAGAATTGATTTTTCGGTTCTATGCATTAACAAATTTGCCTCAGTATTAAATTCCTCATTACAGGACTCACATTGGTATGTAAAATTAAAGTCAGTAGTATTTTCTTGATGGGAAATGATCAAAGATTTATCATTTTTTGTGTTCTGTTGTTGTTGATACGATGATCTCGTTCGTACTGTCGTTGTTTTACTTGTATACCTGAAAAGACGAGAAAATCGATTGAGAGTGATTACGAATCGTTACTGATTTGACTTAAGGGTGTCTTAAATGTTACTTTCATTTATCTTTTTTGTCTTAAGATATAACGATATGTGTATGCCTGTTAAAAAAAAAAAAAAGGAGAAAATAAAAATTTCTTATTTATTTCAAACAAGGTAATTATTTACTTAAAAATTATTATATCACCCAGTGTATATTCAATTTGTATTATTACTTACTTCGACGTGTTTGAATAACCTTCGGTCAACGATGAATCTTAAAAGCCTTCTCTAAAAGTATTTCCATTTCTTAGAGAGACTATAAGAATATAGATCGTATGATAATTATAAATATCATAATCAAAGTATTACATTCAAGTATCGAAAGTATTATCAAATTATAATTCATAGAAAAAAACTTTCTTTTTGAAATATAATTATTTATTTAATAGAAAAGAATACGGATGTGACTTTATTTAAAATTTTCCTTACATTAAAGTACACCATCATAGTATAACAAAATATATATATGAATAAATATACATTTATTTGTAAAGACATTTTTTTGTTCTATTTGTTTTTCTTTTTTCCGCCACTTTGAAATTTCGTGTAATTTATAATTATTATTATTATTGTTGTTAATAATTATAAATAAATTTATACATGTGTGCATTGTAAAATACAATATTAGAAATATGACATAATCGAGAATATCTCGATAGTAAGGCACTAAAATTTTTAATCGTTCAAATGAAAAATATATTTCATAGAAATTTCTATTAACGCTCGAATAAACAAAGTGGCATTAAATTAATTGATTATCGTTATAGAAATAGGAACGAAATACGAGTATGCATGATTCTACTATTTACTATGATAACTAGAAGCAAAATTGAGTATTAAAGATAAATAGTATATGCATAAATAAAAATTGGATAATATGGACGGCTGAACAACACTTGGAATAGGCCAAGTTAATAACATCTGTTAAAAAATAACTTTTTTAGTAGCAATAAGAAATGCAATAAATAATCTTCAATAAAAGAAAAGTTAATAACTTGAATAATCATCACATATCATCATTTGTTCTTTCTTTTTCACAGATTCTCATAGCGCGTAAAAATTTTTTTGTTTAAATAATAAAAAATAAAAAAAATATAATAAATAATAGATAATATTACAATTTAAATTTAAATTTAGTGTCACCACATTATCATTATACTTTCACGTGATCCCTAAAGTGAAAATTTTTAACGTATAACAATGTGAAGAAATGTAACGTCAAAATAAAAACAAATCTAAACAACGAAGCAATACCTAATTAATTAAATGAAACAACATTTTGGGCCAATCGTTTAGTATTATTTTAACTCGGCAAAAAAATCGTCACAGTATCAAGAGTTTCTTGTTGTTCATGTTGTTGAATCTGTTGTTGATATTGCTGCTGTTGCAATTCTCTTCTTTGTTGTTCTTGTTGTTGACGTGCATTTTGTTTAGCGTGAGTCTTCAAATGAGAATTCAACATGGTCTTAGAGGCAAAAGATTTGTGACAATAAGTGCAAGGATACGGCCTGTCTCCGGTATGTCCACGCAAGTGTACAACCAAAGAGGTACGTTGTGTAAATTTTTTTTCACAATGTGTACACTTATGACGTCGTTCACCCGTGTGGGTTCGTCGATGAACACTTAAATAATTTTGCGATATAAAACCTTTCCCACAAAAATCACAAACGTGTGGTTTCTCGCCGGTATGTTTACGCAAGTGTACCGTCAAATAAGTTTTACTGGAGACAGCTTTACCACAGATAGGGCAGACATATTCATTGGACGGCCCTACATTTCCATGTGTCTTCATATGTACTAATAATACTTGTTTTCTAGAGAAACGCTTATTACACAATTCGCAATGATGTTTCTTCTGAGGTGGAATGTAATCAGGCTGATGAAGTTTAGCATGCAGTCTAAGACCCTGACAATAGCGAAACGTAGCATTACAAATCTCGCATTGAAATGGTTTTTCGCGAGAATGCAACAGTTGGTGTTCTTGATAGCTATTACGTGTCGTGAAATCAAGACCACAGGTCTCGCATTGAAACCTTAACTCAGGATCGTGATGTTTTTTATGAATAACAAGACTATGTCGATGCATAGTGACATAATCGCAAAATTCGCAACTGTAGTTTTTTTCTGGTATCGCGTGTTCCTCCTGATGTTCTGCCAGTGCTAGTGTCGTTGGATAATTGCAACCACAGTGCTCGCAAACAAACGATTCATCCGATACCTGTTCGTGACTTTGTAGATGTAAAACTAAAGTGTGTTGGTTAACGAATACGTCACCGCAGAAAGTGCATCGAAGTATCGTTTCCTCAGGCATCATTGCTTCGGCATTTTCCATCTTTGCTACATCCAATGGATCATTCATCAACGTGTTGCTGCTTTCAACGCTAAAGACGTTTTTCATTTCGTTGATACCACATTGCTGTTGTTCCTGAGGCTGATGATGTATCGTGATCTTTGAGTCAAAATATCTGGAAAGAAGAGAGACACAAATAGGAATCAATCAATGCTCTAATTCTGTCAATCTTGCGTACTTTCGACTTTTTTCTTCTTTAAAGGGAGTCTTACATCTTAAGCAGGATATTTACAAGGATGATTACGGTACACACGAAATTGTTTTCATCGATGAAGAATAAAAAGTACTTTGATAATCATATACCTATTTTGTGTTTAATTAATGTAGCTTTCTCTCTCTCTCTCTCTCTCTATCTCTCCTTTCACTTAGCGCATACCTGTGTCTCTCTTCTCGCATTTAAAACTTGTGTATGTCGTAAGGATATGGAGTAGTTATTATTTATAAATCGAGGAAAAGAAATTGTATCTCTTGTATTTATCTCTTGAGTATTTATTTATTCATTCATTGTAAAGAATAGTTTAAATTTGTTTAGCCATCTATTACCACGAAAAACTGAAAAATATTTGTTAATATTATTAAATTATATATAAAACTACATAATATACGATGACCGAAGAAATATATAAGATGATAATTTTCTATTCATTACTTTGAAATAGTAGATATATTCTATATAAATACGAGTGATTACCATTCGTCGATAATTGCAAGTGACTTTACCGACATGCTATTTAACAGTAGAATTATTTTACTTTTTTATATTTAAAAAATTTATAACTTTTTATTATATTACGAGCTTAAATTTAAAATAAATAATAATACTTATTCGTGAATATATTTATGATATAACATTTACAATAACTTTAATCCAACATAAAAGGTACATCTATAGGTGATGAAAATAGTTTTTAACGATTATTCACCACCGATTATACGTACATATAATTATATTAAATTTTTTTCCTATAGTTACTAAATATCAATTAATTAGGTACAAATGTATAAACATTTTTATACTTACGTTTTATAACCACTTAGTGTATTATAGCGGCAAAATTTGGCCCGCTTGCAGTCATGAAAAGCACCTAAATTTGTCGAAAGTTTATTTTCTGTTCGACTATTGTGATACTACGCAATTTAAATCTAAGAACGTCGTTTTAAATTCGTATATATATATATATTGCACATGTCAAGTTAAATTGCATTTAACTTTATAAATTTCTCATTAATTCCCGTAATCTCAAAAGTTACGTACACAAAACGTACGTATCGTTTTCTTATATATTCATTAATTTTAATCCACATGATGTTTTAAGATTAATAAGAAAAATTAGGCACATGTCTTAGGCACGTTAAACTTCAAATGAAATCTCAATATATCCTATACAGGTACAAAACACAATTCTCGCGAGTAATTAACACACTCGAGCGAGATAATTACCTAAATCTATATTACTCTGCATTCTCCATGTTCCTGTTTAGTTATTTTTGCATTTCTATCTAAACATGTATTTCATTATATGCCTCTTAACGTTCAACGATACAAATTTCTCATTTGATTGTTTTAATAATATGATAGAGGCATTTCAAACGATATCACAGAGATGATATTAGACACTAAAAGCTAAGTATCAAATAATTATCTCATTTTTTGACGATATTGTATTACAACTAACACAACCTGTTAGAGCCTTCAAAACTCTATCTTATAAAGTTAAGATCGTTATATACAAAAAATAAATAAGGAAAAAAAAATAATTCCAGGTACTTCGAATATTCAATTAATATGAAAAAACCGTTCAAAATAATCATTCTATCAGTTTGTCTTACCTTAAATTTCCTTGTTTTTCCAATTTTATATGTGTGTATATGTATATACACATAAATATATAACCAAAAAAATCTTCAATGTGCTACCTTCATTTAAGCTATCACGAGAAACAATTGTTTAGATAAAATATCCTTTTCAATGTTTCTTCATATGATTAAGCATAATAGTTCTTGTAACGAATCCCTTCCCACAAAGTGTACAAGTGTATGGTCGTTCTCCAGTGTGATAACGACGATGAACCGTGAGGGTAGATGCTTGAGTAAATGATTTACCACACATGGCGCATAAATAAGGCCTCTCACCAGTGTGAATACGTTGATGAACGACGTAATACTTGCGATGAGTAAAACCTTTGCCGCAAACATCGCAGACCAATGGCCTGGACCTGTGTACAGCCTTGTGACTGGTGAGGGATTCAATGGTGGTGAATTGTTTTGAGCAAGAGTCACAAGGATAAGAGACTGTAGTCAACGATTTGTTGACATTAGCAGCATCCACCGTTGGAGATGGAGAATAACTGACAACAGAAGGGTTAGTTCCAGTAACCGTAAGATTAGGATCTGTTAGAGAGACTGCATTGCTGTCTATTGCGAGTCTGTCATTGGCATCGATGCTAGGTTTGTGAGTTTTAGCATGATGATTGTAAAGATTACGCGTCTCAAAACGCATAAGACATCTTGGACAAGAGTAGGGTTTCTCCTGTCCGAGTTCGTGCATCTTTCTGTGACGTTCCAAGAGTGTACGGTATCGAAAACTCGCTTGACATCGATCACAGCTAAATGTTTTCTCGATATTGCCTGTAGCAGCACCAGCAGGTACGACGACGGACATGCCGGACATCAGTCCGGTAGTAGAATTCGTGCTACGAGAAGTAGGCACGTTCGACGGAGATGCACCTAACACCGATGAGGAATGCGGCGCGAGTTCGTGCGTCGTTTCGTGCATCCTTAGGTGCGCAAGAACGAAGAAACTCCTCGGGCAAACGGAGCACGAGTACCTCGCCGTAATTTCGACGTTTTGTTGCTCGTACTCCGGCCGCCTTGGGTGACTCGTTTTCACGTGATAATTTAACTTCAGAGTACTACGAAACTCAAGACCACAGGTAGGACAGGGATAGGACTCCGGGAGGATGAGCTGCGACTGATCCATCAGAAGACCACCTTGATCCGGATAGATCATTGAGAGATGAGATGGTATCGTTTGTAAAGTCGCCGAGGATAATGTCAATGGCATCATCGACGATTGATTCGAAAAGATCGAATTTGTCTGGAGAAAATTACAACCGATCGCCGTCATACTGCCCTCTCCCGTCTCGGGCGAAGGCGACGGTGAGAGTATTTGACGTAGCATCCCTGATAATCCTCCGAAGGTTTCGCCACCTCCTCCTCCTCCATTCCTGAAATTGACAAAAGCCAAAGATATTGCGGCAAAGAGAAATAACCTTCAATTAACACGCAGATGGTATGCTTTTTGTTTCACATTTGATTCTTCGTGTTCTTTGCTTGCTTTCATCTTGCAACAAACAGTGAGCCAGAGATAGATAGAAAGAAATAGAAAGAAAGAGAAAGAGAAAGAGAAAGAGAAAGAGGAGAGAATGTGAGAAAAAGAGTTAATGCTTGAATACGTGTTTTTTCAGTTTCATTCATGTGTATGTGTATCAGTGTAAGTGTATTATTTTTGCAAAGTGATCATCGTGCAAAGTGCGTAAGTGTTATTGATTTAGAAAAAAAAAAAAAAAAAGAGAAATATATATATAAGACATGTGAAAAACGAGAACACATGTGCAAAGTTGGAAAAGTCACTGTCTAGTTCATCTTTGCTCGTTATTAACTTATAATTAGCTCAAATTATTATATTCTGCAAGGGGAAACTGCGAGGGGAGAAAGATAGTATATATGTAGAGAAAAGAATGAGAAGTAAATAGAGAGAAAAATAAAAGAGAATAATAGAGAATAAATATAAATAAGAATTATAGCATAAAATCCGATATTAAAAGCGAAATTTCAAAATATTGTCCACTGGTGATATTCTTCTATCCTTGAAAGAGACAGATTATATATAAAAATATGTTTAATATCAAATAATTGAAAAAAAGAGCAAAGTCTCACCTTTGATATGGCATTTCTTGTGTAATCTTCGACTGGTAATACTCGAAATAGACAGCATATCAATTTTTCTTATTCAAACACTTATATTCTTCTTTTCACTACAATCTCACGATTGAATACGTAAAACGTAAAAAAGGTACGTTTTAAAGCTTCAATGACGGATTGCATAATAGTACAATTGTCAAGTTAGCTTTTATATTTGTCGAAAGGGTGTGGAAAAAAATTACACCGATAAAAAACCGACGAGACACGAATTAAGTTCGTAAATAATTACAAACGAAAATTGTTGTCGAAAAACGCGTTCGTTCAACATTCGAATTTCGAAAAACGAAAAAGTATGTTAAAATCCGAACGCTGCTTATCGCTGCCAAATGAAATGCGGCGCGAAAGCGCGAAAACGCGAGAAATATAAAAATATTATAGATCAATGTTTGGCGCAAAATGCAAGCCTCGTGTGTACGAAAGATTAACATAAATTAAAATCAATCAGATGCTCGTAAGAGTCTTTTTTCTTTTTTTTTGTTTAAATGAATTGAGCAAAATTGAGCAAAATTTAACAAAATGCACGTACTCGTATTGTATATTGCAATCGAATAGTCCACGAATTGGTTGATATCTCAGTGTCAAGATGATGAACAAAATAAAGATCTAACGTCAAAATAGAGACGTTACGATCGATCATCTTCTTGGAGATACAAACAGAAACAAATATATGCATATGATTACTCGTTAAGCACATAATAATATAAATAAACAAAAAAGAAATAATTATTAACTAATAAACACTAATCACCTTGTAGATTAACAACATAAATTAAATAGATACTCGCCTGAAATAAAAGTTTCTCCACGTGTAGAATCCTAGTTTATATTTTATTTAGAGTGACGTATACACTAGTTTGTTTCCTCTTCTCGTCTATCTTCCTGCATTTTGAGCAATTTAGTGTCGCGTGCGACTTCCTTCGGAATTCTCGTCGTTTGAACGTATGTTTATATCAAGGTATACGTTTCAGTCTTATTTTTCTTTCATATGTGTTTTGGTTTCTTTTAGTTTGCAGATTACGATGCACAATTATCATATTTAATTTCTTCATATTCAATAAAATAGAATTTAACGAAAACGTATAATATATGAATCGTATGTAAGGAGACAAATATATCTCTCGACGAATGATATGTCTCCATGTATATTCGAAGATTCGTCGTCGTATATCAAGTGATCGCACTTAAAATATAGAGCGCAATAAACGAATCAATGTGATCTTTGACTATAATTGTAAAAGCGGAGGCATTCGAAAGCACGATAATAACGATATATATGTATATACAGTCGCGTTGGTAAATAAGTTAACGATCAATATGTAGAAAAATTGAAGAAATTAATGGAGTATTGGTGTGTTTAATGGGATTATTTAAAAAAATATATATATATGGTATAGAATTGTATTATGAATAAATGGATATTCAAAGATAACAAATTTGTATCGATAAAGAAAATAAACAAAATATGCAATATAACTACAATGATAACATAGGAAGTAAGTTAACGCATTTTTCTAATTAATTTCATAAATGCTCGATGAGAGACTCAAGACCAAATATTGAGGGAGTACTTTCACAATACGTTTGTATTGGCTATGTGTTTGTATTTTAATAAACTAGTATTGTTACCTTGGTTTTATGATAAAAATCATTTCCCTGTTGGAAAACATAATTATTTTGTACTCTAATTTTTTCTATAGAAAAAAACAAATAATTTTGCAATTATTCTTCATATTTTTGTCTGCTATCAATGATTACTAGGTTTAGTTAACAGGTGTATACTAAAAACATCATGACATAATAGAATTATATTTGTGATTAATTTATGTCATGTTTTCTTTCTGCTCTTGAGATTAAGCGAAACCTCCCTTCTCTTTAATATTATCATATATTTAATAAACTCTTAAGAAATATTCTTCTTTATTGGTCTTAAGCATCCTCAATTTCACTTTAGCAAATTATTTTAAAGTATTTAAAAGTAGGTTATGAATACGGTCTCTTCAAGTTTTTTGTTATTTAGAACAAAATCCAAAAAAACGATACAATCGTTAACTTACTTTCTGATGATTAAATTTTTCCTGAATGATAAATTTTACAAATTTTTTGTACTATTATTAATGATAAAGCATATTCTGTCATTACTGACAAAATCAATAATTGACTTCAATTATTTTTTACATAATTGATAATTTTCAAATATTGCATTAACATACTTACTGGCGCGACTATATTTAAACGAACGGTATATTCATATTAATGTGGAAGAACTTGGCGATATTTATTCCTCTGATCGACCAAGCATTCGTAATGAGCGTGAACGATTAAACTTATACTTAATCAATCGGTTTGTGACTTTTTGAATCGACCGATTTGATGGTCGTGTGCGGCATTTTGTGCCTTCACGTAAGCGTGGGTATATTAATATCGACAACATGTAAACATCTTCTTTTTCGACTGGACAGAGAGTGCCATAATATGTTTGTTTAATCTAAGCATTTGATATATTATTCCAATATGGTATTTCATTTGTAAAATTTCTATATGTTTTCAAAATAAATTTATACAGAAGAACCCTCTGTCCACTGATCGTACACGTATATACAATAACTAGGATAGTGATCGTTTTAATGAGAATTAATAAACAATTATGTGTCAATCCCTGGATATTATATTTAACGATTAATATGAAAATATTCTGTTTCCCCTTAGAACGAACACTATACACATGCGAGAACATGTAAATATGAGAAGGTATTTAGCAATTTAAAATTTTTATTTAATAAACTTTTTCTTTAGAATTTCTATGTTTTTGATTGATATAGTTTATATAGAATAAATAAATTGCAAAAATTTGTAGAATTATTTTTAATAAGAAACTAATCAAATTGCTAAATATCTAGAGCCAAAGGTGGTTGTGGTTAGTGTAGGAACTTACCTTTAGTTTATAAGAATTAACCTCTTAATATATATATGCATATCTTTTTTAATTATCTACGAGTTTAACTCGGAAGATTTCTATACAAAAATAAAATTAAAAAATTAACTATTTGTGTATTTTTAAACTCGTATAAACCATTTATATAGAAATAATTTGTTCACCTATATATTTTTTATACGTAATTAGAGTTCAATAAACATTGTAGCGTAAAATAAATAAATAAACACCATATAAATATTCTATAAAGCTACAGTGTAATTAAATGATGAATATAAACAAATTTTTCGTTCTTTAAAATCATTAAGTCATTTGATCTGAAATATTGCCTTTTTATTATATGAAAAGGCAAAATTTGGAATGTGGAATGAAATAAGTTTAATGGTTTTTATATAAATGTTTGTGTGTTGTTTGTAATTGCCACAACCTATACACCTTTGACCTTTTTATATAATTAAATTATTAAAAAAAAAAAAAAACTCACCCAGATTTGGGATCTCCTTCTGCAGATTGTTGCATTGCTATTTCAGGTATCTCAGTAACTTTCTGTTGTTGAAGTCCGGAAGGTCCAGCTTCATCACAAGCTAATGAAACGTTTACAAATGTTGTTGGTTCAATGACTCTGCTATTGTTGGGATCTTCTTCATTTTCTTCTTTAACAGGTAGGCCTTAAATATAAATACAATAATCGTGTTTAGACAATTGAATCCAAAAATGTGTAAAAATATTATTTGAACTTAAAAGCAAATAGAAATATTGATTAAAAAAAAATAATAATAATAAAATTACCTTCATCTCCATCACATTCATCTTCCGAGTTTTCTTCTTCTTCACTACTCTCTTCTTCTTCTTCTTGTTGATTACTCGTGTTAGTTTGATTTTGTGTGATTTGTTCATGCGTAGATTGAGTACTTGTACCAGGCATTTCTTGTACAGATTGTACTGAACTAATGCTTGTGTCCATAGGAACTGAGGTTATTTGTTGTTGATTGGTCGAGGACATTATCATGGGGATATTTAGATTCATGTTGTCCATCATACCCATACCCATATTGTTTTGATGTTCATTTACTTGCTGCATCATACTTCCATCTAATCTGTTACCAGCGTTTGGATCTGATTTCATTATGTTCTGTGTAATCAAAAAAAAAAAAGAAGAAAACATATTTTAGTCATTAATTTCGTTGGCGAACATATTACTATATAAATAATATTTACAATCCTAATTGAAGAAAAAATGATTTTCTGTATTGTATTCTTGTGAACACACTATATAAAATTAACTATAAGATAGACAACAAAAGAAGAAAAAAATGTTATTTAAAGAATTCCCACACTTATATCAGAGACAACTATAAACGTATATTTTATCCGCTGCTTACGGCAGTAGTCAAGGCAACCATATACAAAAGAATATCCAAAAAACAAACAAATATCTATACTTTCTTATACTCGATCGATAACTTGCTCTCTATTGTATTTTGGTAATATTTCATAGAAATAAGAAAATTCTTAATAACATTCAATATTGCAACAATTAAATATCATGTACCTGATTGAGAACATTTGTAGCATAATTTGATTTGTCCTCCAATCCATCTTCTCCCAACCATTCTAAGAATTTCTTTTGTGAACTAGCAGATGTATTCCAAAAGTCATAAATAAATTCTACTTTATACACACAGTCATTACATATTTTCTTAGGTAACTTGTCTTCTCTATCGACCTGTAAATGAAAGAAAGAAAAAATTGTTAAACTCAATAACACCTTTAATATACATAGTGTATCTAACATTTTTATAATAAGAGTGTACAAAATGCTTGGAGACAATCGATTTTGATCACAGTAAACACTTTCACTATGAGCATTTCAAGTATGTTTATATAGTGATAAGATCAAAATCGGATCATTTCTCTGAAGAAATTAAAACATTGGATTAAAAATAAGAAATAAAAAAGCATCAGTTTCTATTTATACAAAAATGATTATATTTTTAAAGTAAAGAGTATGCATCTGATTCAACAAAATGTCGAAAACATTAGCACGATTAATCTCCTCCTCCATTTCTCTATTTTGTCAAAGTAAATATTCATGGAATGATTATTCTACGTTTATATTAAGAAACGAATTATTAATTTTGCAATACTAATCGTATAATAAAAATGTAAGAAAAGGGTATATGAATAGTTAGAAAACAAGAATAAAAAATGCGCGGTAAAAATGTATCAAGGAATTTATGGCGTCATGAGGAAAAGAAAGATGAAGATCCATATATATGTAGGCATATACAAGTTGAGTCGGATAAAGATAGATAGCTAGATAAAAGGAGAGAGAGAAAGAAAGAGCGAGAGAGAGAAATGAAAGGATGTATCCACAGCATAACAGCATTGTCGTTGTTGGATCGCCTTAATTTTGCTTAAAAGCATTTGAGGCGCGTTTCGTGTCTGAAATGTGTTTGCATCTAGTAGAAATATACCGGGAGTCCAAAAAGTTAGGACATTGATTATAAGAGCGTCGAAGCGGTAAGGCCGCGGAAAAAGCAACAACAAGATGGCGATTTCTTTGTGGAGGGAGGGTTAACGTATGCGATGACTATGGCGCAGTTAGCTTACCTTGACCGGTAGGCAGGCGGTTATTTTGAGATAAATTTGTCTTGTATCACCCTCGCCCTCAAAAATCGGCACAGTAACACGTTCCTTCACGAGACAGAGTCGACACAAGTCGAGATAGTTGAGGGAAGACATTTTCCCATGTAAAACGCCAGCTCGAGACTCAAAAGCCGCGCCCGTAGACGCGAACACTTTCTTTCAACCGAAGCCGAAGAAGACCTCGCAGCGTCGTCCGCTTACGCGTCTCGTTTCCTCCCTTCTACGTTTCATTAATGTTCGGTACTTTCCGTAATACTTCGACTCTCTTCGGTGCTCTTCGTTCGTATTCGTTACCCCGACGACGTATCGTTTATCGATCGGAACTGCTTTGTGATTCGTTACTCAAGCCAACCGCCTTTATACACGAGGCTTTCCAAATCGACGTGCAATGTTCCTTTTTCCTCTCGTCCTACTTTTGACCAATAGCATCGCTTCTCTGTATATTAGTTTTACGCGCTTTTTTTTAAATCTATTTTTTAATTGTTACTTTTTTTTTTTTAATCTATAAAATTTTTCTTTTTATTCTGTTAATATACTTCTATATTGCGTTTAACCGATTAAATGATGTTATATTACAAATTGTGTTTCGTATAATACAAATAATAAAATTACAATAATTTAAGCGTATTTAAGTAGGTAAAAGTAACAAAATATATTGGAGATATCGTTGCAATTGTAATACTAATATGAAGAAAAAAAACGAAGAAACTAGCACATATCCATTTCGATTCCATCGATCGAACAGGTGTTTCAGAGGTTGTCCGAGTTACCGCTGTATATTAAGTTTTCATGCCCTATTACTCCCACTGCAAGAATATGTACGATCGAATAACGTCTGTCAGCAACGACTATCGAAGCTTCAGCATGATAAATCGTATTTCTCTCGTAGCATCGTAGATGTATAAGAATTATACATATTTAAAATAAAAGATCTAATTACCAATAAGAATGAAGAAAATATTATTAAAAGAATTTTATATGATATTTAATAAAATAATAAAAATATACGATGCCACGTTATTAATGCACAAATAAATGTCTCAGGATCTCGTAAGGTTAGGTACGGTACTGAGCGTATAATGACTCGTTGGAATCGTGGGAGGAGGATAAACATAGTACCGTCACGTTTCTTTGTCATTGCGGCTCAGCAAGTAACCTCTCTCGATGTTGTTAAAGATATCAATGACCTGTCCTGCCCTTTCCAACTTGCTTCAGCCTTGTATTCGCATTCATAATACTCGTATACATATATTGTATATATGTATATAAAAATCAAATGCGAAAAATCCGATAAATATTGGCTGACTTGTATCTTTTGGATTAATTTCTGTTTGGGTCACGTAAAGCACAACTGCATTTTTTAGATTAGAAAAAACTGCTTTATTGTGGCAGAGCACATGTATTTACGTATAATATATATACGTGTATACACATATACAATTTTATACTCGTATTTTATATGTATGTGTATACACACATACATACATACATATATATATATATATATTTATATATGTATATATATACCAGCATATAATTAGGAAGTCCATAGTAATTTACAAAGTACGATCCACTTAAAACGTCAGTACACGTGGCGGTGTGTGCAGGCAGATTTTTGGAACCTATTTCGAATCGCACGAACGCGTTTTTAGCCTTTATCTCCTTTCCCGTTTTATTTTTCTTTATTTCTTTTGCCTAATAATTCAGTTGTTCAACTCGATGTCTTTACACGATTTATTTTATTTATTTATGTACGTATTAATATGTGTATGTATGTATGTATATGTACGTTTGTATGTATGTATTTATATATATTCATGTATTCACGTTTCCAATTTTTTCTCTTTCTCATTATTACGAATATTCGGCGTTGATGCGTTATCATTTTGTGAAAAATCGTATGTTCTTCTTTCTTTTTTTTTTTAAATAAAAATTACATGAAAGTGAGGGATATGTCTCCTATCAGATTTTGTTTACATCGAAATCGCTCATTAAGGCGCGTGAGCTGAAAAGATTAGATTTCTTTTTTAAAATTCTCTTCTTTGTTATCATTYGTCTCGTTCGTTCGTATATCCAATAAAATTTGTTACTATTCTTCTTTATCTTACAGATAATTATACGAATAATATTATAAATACGTAATATGTGTGTGTGTGTGTATATGTATGTATGTGTATGTGTGTAAGTTTTCTTTTTACAAGTTTCGTTTTTCGAAATATAATTTATGTATATATGTAAATTATCGACTTCCTTTTCTTTCTTTCTGTCTTTTTTCATTCGCAATTGTCGGGGAGAGGAAACTGAACGAGATGAATTTGACTATTTCTAGCGTTATGATGAAAAATGTTTTTTTTTTTTGTACAAACTATCCATCTATCATTCATTTGATCGAAATAAGTACCGTTAATAATTCTTAATAAGTCTTAATTATATCTGAACATACTTTTTTTTTAAAATACAAGGTCTGGAAGATCAAATATGGTTTTTTTGTCTCTTTTTGTTTTTTTTTTCTCTTCATTTTCTTTTCCTTTCTTTACCCTTCTTTTTTTATTTACAAAAATCGTAAAATAAATCATTTCTCGCAACAGCGAACAATGTAAGTATTATATGTACGTATTTTTATATATATATATATATATAAATATATAAGGAGAGAGAATAATATTAGATAATAAATGAAAAAGCATACATAATTTGTAAGGAAGCATAAGAGATTGTATTGGCAAAAATTGTAGTGATACGATCACCATGAAGATATTTTTAATCTTATTATTATCATCGTGAATTAATGGTTGTCCCTTTGCACGAATTTTTTTTTTTTAACATTTGGTCTTGAACACCCTCTCCCTTCCTACAACATTTTTCACATTCTCATCCTATGAACGAATTAATTAAGATTACAATAGGGTTTGCATGCTTTTCTTTCAAATGACCGTGAAGAATACGTAATTAACGAATTTTCTGTTATTTTTTTGTTCTTTCTTTTGCTCGTTTTTTTTTTTTTTACTTTTTTACTCAATTGTATTCGTTTCACTTATAAAATTTCATAATTAGTTATTTTCTTAAAGACTACTTATGCTATAACACTAATAGCAACATTGCGCGAATAAATGTGTCTTGATTATTCATGGGTTCCTTTTTTTTCTTTTGTTTTTTTTCCTTTGTTAATTAATTTTACACACTCTCCAACAGTTTCAACGTAAATTTACAGCAATTATAGGTATTACCGAATTACTGCGTGTATGTATATAATAATGCAAATAGTGCTTCTTGTATTTTTTATTTTTTCTCTTTCCCTTTTTCCTCTTCTCTTACTTTCTTTCTTTATGGTGTTCGTTATCTGCTAATGTAAGATTCAAAATGACGTGAAAACTTATCATTTTCACACGGCTAAATATTTAATTTATATCATTATCGTTATTTAATTTATATACATGCGTTTACGTTTTTGTGCATTAAGAAAAATTTGTGTAACGTTTGGTTGATTTAAAGAAATTTTGGCGGATAGTCTACGAAAGATTCAATCAATGATTACTCTGTTTTTTTTTATCTTTTTTTTTTTTTTACTTAACTTCTATCTCGTCGTATCTATTAAACGTCGGTGCAATTGTCATCGAAGTTTTTAAGGTCGTTTTTTTTTTTTTTAGTTCACGTTATCGCGATATGATAATTGAGAAAGGAACATTATCTTACAGCGAGACGAAAAGCATAATAGAAACTAGATAATTTTGAGATGCAAATATTATTAACAATTTTTTTTTCTTTTTTTTTTTTTTTTTGAAGTGCACATAATATTTTCATTTAAAAGTTATAATTTTCTTTTTCGATGAATTATTTAAATTGTTAAAAGGAAATACTCATGATTATTATAATAACTTATTTTTTTACGATTGCATTAATAATATACATATATTATGCAGAATTGTTGAATTGAATTGCATAAACTGCATCCAAAGAAAAAATGTTTATATATCAAACGATGAGAAATTTTGAATCGTTCCAATCATTAATTATTTAATTATAACATACGATGTTAACAAAATATTTTTCTTATTTTCAAATTTTTTTAGATAAACAATTTGATCCTTTTTCTTTCTTATAAGAATTCCATTTTTACACAAATTTGTTCAATAAAACTTACGAAGTGATTCATTAAATATTCTCAAAATTACATTGACGACGTACTCAGATTCTTTTAATATTTCTTTCTTTTTTTTTTGGTATTTTTTGTTCGTTTTTTCGTTTTTTTGTTTTTTATATAAGAGAAATTTAAATATATTTAATATATTAGAGATAAAATGCGATCTTTGCGTCTCGAGTAAGCGGTCATCTATGATTTTAACATTAAAGTTTAATTGTAATTATTAAAAAAAAGAAATTTAAAGAGTGAGCTTTACGTTTACATTTACATATATATGTATATATATATATAGAGTTATATATATGCATATACATACGTATATAAGTCATAGAATTCTAAATATATCGGCATATTTTATTGTACATATCTTATTTTTGTATCCTTGAATTATCCAAAACGCTTATTTACAAGTTGTCAAACTAGATTCGAAATTTTAACTCCCATTCTTTGTGTATCTTAATAATATATTACAACATTATATTACAATCGATAGGTAGCGTCTTACGAAGAGCATATTTTATGTATTCACCCTGGTTGTAAGATTATTTTTAATAGATTTGTTATTCTCTCCTTTTCTCTCCCACTTTCTCTCTTTCATCTCGTACGTGATATTTCATCATGGTCGTTTCATAATATTGCGATAGATAAAAAATCATTTTTTTTTTCTTTTTCTTACAACTACCCTGATACACTGAAACATAGTAAATTTCGTTTTATAAATACTAAACGTTCTATTTTAACGTTCTATTTTATCAGAACTGAGAGAGATAATTCGAATCCTATCTATAATGAGAATATGCGTACTTTAATTGTTGTAAAAAATAATGAATAAATTAATTTGATGTGAACTGTAATCAATATAAGAAATATATTACATATATTTATATATATTGTTACTGTTGTTGTTTTGAAGTAACAAGAATTTACATAGGAATCATTACGTAACGCAATAATTGATTATTTTGATCGATTTGATTGATATACATATATATATATATATATATTTGTTATATTAGAATATCGAAATTTTTCACAGGAATAATATCATTTTTTAAGTTTGTAAAATGGTATAATTAATCAGCTCGTTAATTAATCAATCAACCAATTAATCAATCTCTCCTAATAATTGTTTATCATTGTCATATGACTTGTTTTTTGTTAATATAGTGCAGGAAAAATTCGGATTAATTTGTCGCGAGATTCGTTTGGATGTATATATGTATGTTTGTATGTATGTATGTATGAATGTATGAATATATGAATGTATGTATGTATGTATCAATGTATGTGTGTGTGTATGAATGTATGTATGTATGTATGTATGCGTGTAAGAAGTTCGTATCAATGGGAGATATAAATTTTGATTGATATATTAAACTTTAAGTTAGCTATACGTTTCGAATGAACATCCGAAATGAAATAACTTCGATAATAATGATTAATCGGATGATTAACTATAAATTCGCATAATCGTGAGAAGTTCTTTATCTTTTTTTTCTTCTTACTATCTACGGGTTTTTTTTTGTACTTGCCCGCACTAATAATAATATAATCATTTAGGAGCAATTTAATCATCGTTCACATGTTCATTTTTGTTTTGTTTTGACACTTAAGCAGGCACATCATTTATAAATTGAACGTGATTTTGTTTCTAAAGAAATTCTTTATACGTATAAGCCGATTACGTGGCCGTTTTTCTATTTTAAAGATTAAGCGAAGAGATAAGATTTGACTTGTTAGCGTTAAATAACGATTTCTGTGTAGCAATCGTTCTTTCTTTCTTTCTTTATTTCTTTATTTCTTTCTTTCTTTCTTTTTTTCGTTCTATATTTTTTATTTTTTTATAATTTTTTTTCATCATTGTTTTCATTATTATTCTGGATTCGGATTTTAAAACGCATTTCGGAATCTTATTTTAAAATATTGTGTATTATCGATCGATTAATATTCATCTTAAATGGTTTTTAAAAAGAAGGCATTTGGTGCTACCAATAATAGAGAGATATTTCCGGGAAAACGGGTTCCAGGGTAGACAATTTTCGATGGTCGTTCTATTATTATTATTATTATTACTATTATTAGTATTAGTATTAGTATTATTATTATAATTATTATTATAATTATTATTATTTTCTTTTTCTTTTCTTCTTATTTTGCACCTGGCATCGTTTTCATAAGCGAAATATCGTACTACAAAGAAAAATTATTCCCCGTATATTTTATGCGAACCTTGTTATTTTCTTGTATATTTGTAAGCTAACTATTTTAAATAAATAAATAAATAAATACTGAAAAAAACAATATATATTTATATACATAAATAAATAAATAAATGAAAGCAAAATTGTCTGTATATTTTTGGTCGTTTTATATTATCGATTTAAAACGCCGTTTAATATATTCGCGTTCTATTATTTTAGTTCCATCTCTAATTTTAAGTAATGAATAATTGATAGTGTTATTTTTCCCTGTCTCTTTTTTTCGTTTACCGATCGAATAATATTTATTTTACGAATCTAATTATAAGAAGCATATAAACAAATATAAATATTATTCATCAAAAAAACTAAGCTATTAACGTCAAAACGTATCGGGACTTAAGATATTACGTAAAACGCAAATGAATTAGAAGATATCTTGATTTTCATATGAGGGAAAAGAAAACGATATGCCTTTGATAATAAGTAAAATGAAAACGAAGATGTGCAAAAAGTTTAAGTTAAAAGATCAAATTCGTTTTATCTTTCAATTTCTTTTATTCTTTCATTTATTTATTCATTTTGTTTTTCTATTTTACTTTTCTTCGTAATGCTCGTGTGTATCTTGTAATTCATAAAAATGACTTTCGACCTGTATGATCGTTGTGATTCATATATGTAACTATAATCCTAATATATTACAAATCTTGAATTTATACGTCTCTTGTTCTTTTCTTGTTGTTGTTGATGATGATTTGTAGTCAATAATAACGAAGAATAATTAGTTGACTTCGTCTCTCTCTCTCTCTCTCTCTCTTTCTCTTTCTCTCATTTTATTATTATTATATTACTATTATTATTATTAATATTATATTACTATTATTATTATTTTGTGATCGAACGAAATAAAGATAAGTGACAAGTTCGATGCATCGAATCGTTTGGCTTCTCATCGAATTCTATCGATCACGAATCGGTGCACGATGCACGACATAGATAAATACGACGAGTTCTCATTAGAAACATACTGAATACCGTTGTCAGTAATTTTTTTTTTAATTTTTTCTTTATTTTAATATATTGTTTGTTTTTTCTTTTTATTGTAACGAGTCGTCGAACGATCCGGGATTGTTATTTATTAGATTTTTTTTTTTTTTAATTTTTTGGTTGGTCGTCTTCATTAAAGCTTTCTTTTTTTTTTGGTTTTTCTTTGGTTGCTTTCATTTCTTTTTTTTTACCCTTCTTGAAATTTTTGAATTTCGTAGCTATGATACACGCGTGAAAAACGTTCGGCTGGCTCGCTACTACCACTTTTCACATGGATACTACTTACGTATACTTCATATACATATACCATGTTGAAATTTGGAATACTAAAGATATATTCTTTGACATTAAAAAATATTTAAATAGATACTACTTCTCGATGAAAGGCAAGAAAATTGCTCCGCATGTGGAACGCCTATCTTTACCATGTGTGTTACATGTATAACACGCCTGAGCTTTATAATCAGAGAAACTCGAACGATTGAATCTCCGTTTCTTTCTTTTTTTTTATACTTTGCTTTTTCACAATTATCTTGTTCATTGACTTGTTAATTTAAACAAAATATCATATATTTACTGTGATAACTTGTGACACGCATAAGAATGTACATATATATACGCGTATTAGAATAATTTTTGATAAGAAACGAATTTATTTTATCGTATGTAAAATGAAATAATTCGAGTAAAATGACATATTTTTATCGAATATCGTTTATCCGAGTAGAAAACGAAAGAAAGAGCCGCTAAGCTGTACGTTATTGTTTCACACTCCACCGACGTTGTTTCTTTGACGTTCGAGCACAAGGTGCTGCTATACACAAAAAATAGAACAGATAGTTTGTTTCTTTTTCGGTTTGTTTTGTTTTCTTTTCTTTTCTCTTGTCTTTTCTTCTCTTTTTTTTTTTTAATCCATGAAAAAGCTGAAGTTGAACCGTTGACGTCACAGTGCAGATTTTGAAAAATGACATAGAAACTGTTGACGGCAACGATTAGAAGAAAACAAGATATTTGACTTGACACGGTCGTCGACTTAGTTATTGATCGAACATCGAAATAGTTAACTTCTACGGTGGATCAGACGGACTCTCGTCTCGGCTGAAGTTCTATGGAAGTTAACGAAGAAACATAAGAACGTTGTCAGATACTGGCACGATGTTGATGCAACGTTTGTAACTGTAGCAACGGCGTCAATTGGAGTGATCTCAATTCGGTTTCTTGATTCGGTTCTGGAAACTGCTGCATCGGTAAGAGGTGAGAAATCTTGCCGGGTGAACGACGAACCGTGAAACGTGGTCTCCGGCGTTTCTTTTGAAAGCCGCTACAGCGACAACTACATACTGATGGCTCGTCGTCAAACGAAACTGTTTCACCGTGATTACCGACTCGCCCTGATAGTATCGAGCCGTTTGCTGTTATCACATCACCTTCCAAGCGTACTGCGTCCTGTGCCGCCTATATACAGTTGACAATAAATTCTAATATTTCTTAACAAAGAAGATAAACAGGATTTGCGTGTTAATTATAATTTATTAATAATGAATAAAAGGTAACTATCACCTGCAAAGCCTCGGCCTCGTCTCGTCTCTCGTCTTCGGTATTCATTGTGACGAATCTCAGGACCAATAAATTAAGGGAGGCCGCAACGATCGCCAATCCGAAGAGAATGAAGATCAAGGCAAACATTACGTACTCTGGCTTATTGTTCAAAGCATTGTCCTTTTGCAAAGCTACCATATCACCGAAGCCAATGGTTGTCAGAGTGATGAAGCAATAATAGATGGAATCGAAATAAGACCACCCTTCGTATCTGGAAAACGCTGCTGCACCACCAGCGATAGTCAGACATGACAAAGTTGTCACAACGCAGATCAAATTTATTTCTGAAGCCTAAAACAATTAATTCATTAATTTCCCATTCACGTGAAATAAAACAAAAATGAGAGAACTTAATTATCTTTACCTGGACATCCTTACAATTGAGAAGCATTTTTACGTTCCGTATTACAACGGATGAGAACTTGTTAAGGCGTTCACCTATGCTTTGGAACATCACGAGTCCTAATGGGATTCCCACGATTCCGTAGAACATCGTGAAAAGCTTACCGCTTATGGTATTTGGCGTTGAATGTCCGTAACCTATTCAATAAGAAGCTTATTAGAGAGATAATATCGTTTAAAGAATAAGATAAAAACGCTCAAAAGTATTAAAGTTAATTTATATTTTAAGTATCGTCGATTCTATTACTTTTTCATATTTTTTATTCTTTATAATTGATCTGTTACAATTATTAACATTTGTAAAAATCATGTAAAACGCGTTACCAATTTAAAAGACAATTTTTGAACATTCGCATAAACACAGAGTATAAGAAGTTCGTATATGCAAACCCTTTTATATCCATTATTAAATTCGAGTTCTTGAACAATTTAAGAAAAAAGTTTGTGGAAAAGATTCACAAAGCTAGATAGACATTCATTTAATGATAAGGCCATGCCATCGACGAAAAGTTTCCCCGTTTATATAAGACTCTTCCAAGTATAACATTAGAATGTACTCCAAAATAGTAATAATCACCAATTGTGGTGAGAACTGTGGTTGCATAGTAGAAAGCACCCGCAAACTTCCATTGTTGGCCTGCCTTGTGTGGCTCCGTTTTCAGAACAACGGTTTCCATGATTTTAAAATCATCCTCGCTGATATTGTACTTGCGTATAACCATTTTCTCAATGGCTGTTAAACAGATTAAATATAAAAATTAGAATCTCACAAATGTGATCCTCCTCTTTTCTTCTTCTTATATTTAATTATTTTTGTGAATTATGAGTATTATATTTCACTTGTAAAAAGGTGAATTTGATTTACAATAAAGTGAACACGATATGCATAAATCTTAATTTGGAGTATAAAACCTGTACAAAGGATTGCTTGCATTGTTACTTAATCTAACTTTTTGTACAATCAAAGAATAATAAAAAATAAAATGTGTTTCTGAAGAGGATTTAGAAAAAAATAATATGCGTCAATTTGACTATACTTCAAATAGAACATTAGTTAGAAATTAGCAGTTAGACACTCGATATGATATTTTTCTTGTCTTTTTTACCATCCAGTGCTTCCTTGCGTCGTTTCTCCGTCTCGGACTCGAGAACGTCGAAGATAGCAGCGCCGACGAGGAGGTAGGTGAATGTGGAGACGATTAACGATAGGGTCCGGACGTTTTGTTTCTTCATTCTCTAGTGAGCCACATGCTCACTAGCAGGGCCCCAGCCCCAACTACTTGCATCGCTCAGTGAGTTACGTTTTGCTCTTTTGGGCCCATAACGAGCCTCTTTTTCTCTCTTTCTTTCTGTCTGTCTGTCTCTCTCTTTTTTTTTCTTCTTTCAAAAGACAATGCCGAAAAATAAAAAAAGAAAGGAAGCACCCTCCAACCACTTTCCAACGCTACAGTTCCTGTTCCTCTTCGATCCACTTTTTAGGTCTGCTGTCTTCTTCCTTACCAGGATTGTTCAGCAGTCGTTCTCGTTTATCTGTAATACAGATCTTACGATTCGATTTTATGAACTTAATAACATATGATAATTTCGGATAAGGAATGATTTGCATAAATAATGGACATATTATTGTCGAAAGGTATTCATTTGATTATTTTTAAATTAAAATGTGTATTCGTTAAAAAATATCATCTTGTGAAAGGACAAATAGAAATTTAACGATGCAATTTGTTACACACGTTATAAAAAAAAAGAAAAGGAATAAAAACTATTAAAACTTCTGATAACAATTTTTAGAGAGAGTCACTCTATTTGGATATACTTTCGAAAGGATTTTCCTTTTTCTTTTCTTCGTTTTTTTAATCATTTCCTGCAATATATCCGCGCGCAACCAATTTCGAATACTACAGACTCCTTTTGGCGATCAAAACAAATTATTTTTATCGCACCAATCGAAGCGATCAGGTGGAATTGGATTAAAGTAATAATCTTTTTCGGTCTTGCACTTTGAAAAGATTGAATTTGATTGATGACAAGAAAAAAAAGTAAAATAGAAACAGTTGCAATGTTTTAAAAAGTTTATTGCTGTTTCTTCCTCCCTCTTCTTGTTCCGATTAAAACACATGCCATAAAGAATAAGAAATAGATGAAGGGTTATAAAAAAAGAAAAATCTGATTTAGTGAACTTCTTCACTAATATACAAGATTGATCATTTTAAATTTTAAAAATGCTTTCAACTACCAATGTAAGTAATAAGTATATTTTATTTAAGTTGCAAGTTAAATCAACCCGACCGATCGATGATTATTATTATTGGAAAAAATAAAATGTATTGCAACATTTTATTTTTATCATCCTTCTATACAAACAAATTAAAAATAAAATTGAACATTAGAGATCGGTAGATTGTTTCAATTATCAATTTACTTTTTTCATACAATTTCTAAATTAAAACAAAATCGATCGATCATTGGATGTATTTAATATTTTTATCCTATAGCCTGGAATTACTCTTTCGTCTAGGAAACATATGAATGATGTTTGGTAGAAAAGTCTGCGTTAAATTTTCTTGTTGCATATTTTAAAAGTTTGTAATACACAACATAGGTTCTTTTTCCCGAAAATCGTTCATATAATATATGTATAATATAATATACAGGGTATCCTGTAATTGGTGGTACAAGCAAGCAAGGGGGATGACTCTATATGAAAAATTAAATCGAAAATGTAAAATAAAGTGCATGCGTAATTGATAACATTTCAAAATTAATTATATTTTTCTCCAAAACATACACATAGAAAGCCACATATAAACAAATTTAATTATTCATTTTTAATCTTACCTGTAACTTGTCTTGGGTTTGTCTTTATACACGACCAACGATTAAGCAAAATAATATGGCAGTGCTTTCGCTGCTCCCACTGCCACGTTCCCTCCATTCCTTAATTTAGAATGCCGGACGGTTTCAGTGTCGACTAAAAATAATAAGGTTAAAAATTATTAGAACAAATATATATATATATATATATTTACAGTATTCAAAGTATTTCATATTATGTATGAAAAATACTTCTATTTCTAAACTTTGTTGTACGAAGATAGATCGAAAAGAAATTGTAAGTAATCAAAAAATGTTTGATCATATAATTCTTATACTACTTAAAATCGTCTGATCATACAGTTCTTATACTGCTTAAAATCGTCTGATCATACAGTTCTTATACTGCTTAAAATCGTCTGATCATATAATTCTTATACTACTTACGAATGCCTGACCATGTAAGGAAACTTTTTCTTATGTTATTTAAAAATATCTGACCATTTAGGTCAATGTCTGACCAGGAATCCCCTGTTCGTACTACTTAAAATTCTGTGTGTCATCCTATTTCTATTTCGACTTTCCTTCACCTTAATAGATCTATCGATTGGCAAAAACTTATTTGAAAGATTCAACTATCTTGGTGGATTCCAACGACGTTTTTCATTTAAAAGTGATCGAATTTTTAAACACTTCAATCGTTGCTTTATATTTTCTTCATTTCAAAATAAATATTATAACGAAGGAAATGAATTTTACTTCATGTATAAATCCTATTTTTTTCCTTTTTTCTTTTAAATTTAAATTAAAAGTCCAAACACCTGAATATATACTATGTAATAATATTCTATACACGTATATAAATTTCGATTGGTGTAACATATATAATAGTTTTAAAAATATGGTCGATCCTTTATTTGCTTTTCTTGTCTCTCTGACTACTCGAAAAGCTTGATTAAGTAAACGTTGTTTGAGATTCGAAACAGGAGGGTAACGTTTCTAATAGTCGTGTCTTCTTTCTTCACAATGTATATACAACATATACATATGCATATACATATACAAAGAGCTCAACACGTTTGTATTAGAAGTGGATGTTTGCGGTTCGCTAGCCAAGATCGCATCTTGTGATATCAAAGGTCTGAAACTACGGTTTTTGTGGGACAGCAGGAATGTTAAGGCAGGAATGAGAATCTTGGTAATTGGTACTATTTGGATCTTAAAAGATATCTTCTTTATTTTCTATCTCTCTTTCTCTCTTTTACACACAACACACACACACATACACAACACACACACACACACACACACACACACACAACACACACACACACACACACACACACACGTAAACATATATTCTCAAATTTAACAACGTATATCAAATTAAAATTGTCGTTTGAATTACATTCGAAAATAATATCTTCCTTTAATATATTAATTATCATTTTCGTAGAATAAAAAAGAACAAAATTTTTAAGTACATATACTTATATTTAATTACTATTGACATTGAATTATTTTTTTTTAAATCCATTCATTCATTCCAATTCTAAAGTTGACAAACACTAGGCAGATTTGTTTCATAAAAAAGTACCGATATTTTCTTTATCGAATTTATGTCTCAAAACCTTAGGTCGCAAGCTATAGGATAAAAACTTCAGGGGGTGCATATTTTAAGGGGGTTTCGAATTATATAGAAATCCTCTTATCCCGGTTGGTGGTACAATTTCGGAAGCTAGGAAATTCGATTTTACGCCTGGCAGCATATTTATCGAAGAAAAATTGATATCAAAATCATTATAGATAATGATCTTTTTCTTTCTTTTTTTTTTTCATAAGAAAAAGACAAGAAATAAATAAAAATTAATGATTATCCCTTGTTAAAAAAAAAAAGAAGCTAAAATGAAAATTCAAAACAAAAAAAAAACAGGAACAGGAACAAGAAAGAAAACAAGAACAAGAAGATGGAAAAGGGAGAATATAAAAGTGCGAGAAATATCACTTGAAAAGTTGCGACGACATTGCCTTGTAACTCGTCGAACGAACGATCTATTCCCAAAGAGAAATGAGTAAGTTTCAACGACCTTACAGAGAAGAGTAAAGAGATAGAGAAATAGTTAGAGAAAGAAATAGAGAGAGAGAGAGAGAGAGAGGGAGAGAGAGAGAGAGTGAGTCAAGAAGTTTTAAAGTCATAACTCTTAAGGAAGTTGCACATATATTCGGTAACTTCCGTGAGAAAGTTTATACGATTCATTCTACGAGTAAAACTGAAAGAGGTGCTCGTGTCTAATTTGACTATCTTTTTGCCAATTGACTCTTACTATTGCCTAACTTTTACTATACGAATTTTATCTAATCAAAAGTAATAACATTTTCCACGTGACGCTTTCTCATCTTATTCTTTTTTATATTCAATTGGATTTTTAAACGAATGATTTTGTATTATAAATATGTTAAAGATAGAATATCAATAGTTAATATTTATCATACTTTTTCTTACATATAAATATAATTAAGTAAATTTGATAATAACAATGTCCGAAACAAGATAATTTATGAATTTTTTTTTTTTAAATTTGTAATCGACTACATTAGTCGTTTGAGTTTCTATCATAAATCTGTCGGATATAGTATTATTAGTATTTAAGGGATGTAATACTCATATTCGAATTAGTATAATCAAATGAATCTGTTAATATGTGACATAAACGGTGCCTCCCCAACATTAATTAATCCACGCTTTGAAGATCGGCTTAAGTACTCATCATGTATAATTATAGCGAACGTGTTAATGACATACGGTATTTATGCATTGAAAATTACGATTGATTCAACGTCACTTCACAAGTAATAAAATCAAACACAATAAATATAAGAAACGTTGAAATGATTTTTTTTTTTTTTTAATTATTTTTTTTGTAAAAGTCGATAATTATTTCTGGATGTGATGAATAAGAGTAATAAAAACATAATCTATCATTGTTTGCAGTAATATTTATCTACTTCTTTTTATCTGTCACATTTTTCTTCGTAGAGAAAGTACAAAGAAAGAAATCCTCTCTTTTCTTTTTCTTTTTCTTTCGAGATAATACTCGAAGTAACCCGTTACAAAGTTGTTACATTGTATCGGATGGATCTTTACTCGTATTAACTGTAGCTATTAACCTACAATCTCACGAATTACGTCTACAAGAATGATACCTCAAGACGTATTTCAACTATATTTTTATGTTTTTATAACTTTGAGAAAATATCTTGGGTTAAAAAGTATCTTATCAATAAAACTTATTCCTTCGCATATAAGTTTTACTAAAAAAAAATTCAAAGAAAATAATACAGAATCTATATACTATTGTTTGATTTTAATAGTAATTATAACAAATCTCGAAAAATAGTAGGAAAATGTTTAAAATTATATAATGTACGGATAAATAATTTTCGATATTGTGTATTTTTTTTTCAATTTAATTCATTTTATATTAATTTTGCGAAATTTATAAACGTCGATTTGTGTTCGTGAACGAAGAAAGTTGGATTCAAGTTGTAAAACGCAGGAGATGAGAAGGCGTAGCTTAAAATTGAGTTTTGGCGTAGTTTAAATTAAAGTCGTCTTCTCGTCTTATTGAATATAGGATTCAAGTCCTTCCTTAAAAGTCCGAGGCAACGTTTTCCTCTTTCTCTTTGGTTCTTTCTTTCTTTTTTTTCTTTTTCATTCTCTTTTTCATTTTCTTTTCCATTTGTTTTTATTGTTTTTCTCATTCTCATTCTTCTGTTCATGTTTTCTCCCAGGACAACAAAAAAAAGGAAGAAAAAACTCTCTTTTTCTGGAAAGTAGTTGGAAAACGAGCATACAGAATCGTTCGCTCGCATAAATCAAAATAACGGCGACGATTACTGCAGAACTGTAGTAAACGATTTCTCAGCTTCTGGAAGCTTGGTATAGTTAAAAGAATCTGAAAATGATACCTTCTCTCAGTGGTTTCCTCTTTCTCGACATCCTTAAATAATGTCTGATAAGATTGCGAAACTAATACCCTAAGGATAACGTTCTTACGACTCGTTTACGAAAACTTTCTTTTCAAATGTGTTTAATGTTTTATAGGTCATTTCACGTTTTGCCGAAAATAAATTAGAAATCATTTCTAATTTTTGATTGTTATTAAAGTATAATTTCGTTACTTGTTGTTATTTACTGCAGGAAGTTTTTGAGATGAATACAGAGCATTCCTCTTCCCGTCAAAACATAAACGAAAACTCGTAACATTTTTGATGCCAACTGAACAAAACTTGTCTACAGGTTATTACATCATACATGTATTTGAAAAATATGTAATAATTAAAATTATGAAAATTTGGTAATATTTAAAGTTGACAGGATATTAATTTTTTTTTAAATTCTATACAATTAATTGTAAATGTCTATCAGAATTATAACACTGTGCAAACAATAAGATACAATATTCAATCGTTTTCAAGAAAACGAAGGGAAAATATTTAATATGCATTTTTAAATACTAGTTCGTTTAATGTTAGATTGAAAAATAAATTTTGTACAGTTTTATTAAAAAAGAAGAAATTATAGAAGAACATTTTTACATGGTTAGGCTGAAGAAAGTTCTGAATCTAATAAACGACGATGGATTGAAAAGTTTCAAGCCTAACACGAGGAAAGCTAAAAAGTTTTGAGCTTAACACGAAACAGGGTTGAAAAGTTCTGACAATTATCCTAACACGGTGTGGAAAACCATAAAGCTTTAAATAACATATGGTATAGCAAATAGGTAATATAGTCAAATTGATCATATATTATTCAATAAAATTATATTTAATCAAAAAAATATTATTCACGTAAGAATTACTAAGAAAAGATGAGAAATTTTCAGGATAACTTAACATTATAAAGTTTCGTTCACTTTTCGTGTTATTTAATGATAATTCAAATAATACATTAGTATAGTATATGTAAGTGTTATATTGTATTTAATAATAATACATATATATTATTTTACATTATAATGTATTAATATAAATATTCAATGGAGTGATATAAAATTTAGATTACCAATTATAAAACAGAAACAAAATTTGTTTTTATATTCAATTTGAAAATCATAGTCGTGGGACATATAATCATGAGCATGTGTATGTAAACCA